TAATAATCATTTCGGTGTTTTACATAAATAAATAGGAATAAATATCGATAGGTATTGGATAGTGTGTTTTTTCCAACATTTCTGAGGGGTATTTATACTATTATGAAAAAGGCGTCGGTGGTAAAAAAAAAAGTTTTTCAGCCGAGTCTGCAATCACGAAAGAGCATTTTCTTGTCTCGTTGAAGTACTGAATACATTTAGAGTAGTGGTGGAATTATAGATAATGAAATAGTATATTAACAAGCTAGTATCTAAGGTTAGGTTAGGTTAAGTTATCTTATATTTTAGAATTTTTATAATATCTGGCATTATTCTCACCCCCAACCCCATTCCCACCCACAACCCAATTCCCACCCCCAATTATTTTCTACCCCCATTATTACCCCCCAAGTATTTCGTGACAAGTTTTTCATGACAAGTATTTCGGCTTTGTGCCAGAGCTAAGACATGAAAATGTCAAAAAAAAAAATGCAGAAGGTGTCTGTAAAGGTAGTTAGGTAGAACAAGTTACTATAACAATATAAAACGCTTTTATCTGGGTTTTTTTACAAGTTGTGTTAGAATAGGAAACGTTTTATAATAGTTACACTAATTGTAGTAATTATTGAAGCATTCATATACCGACATTCCCAAAGAATTTTTTGTTGTCAACGCGATTGTAGTTTGTTTGAAAACTGAACTCCATTCGTTACAGCATATTATAGTTTAGTAAATTTTAATGTGAATACTTTTTAAATGCTTTCTAGGTAAACAAAAATTATCCGATGAATCATTATAAAAGGCAGACGAGTATTTTACGGAAAACAAGTGGTTTTTTCGCCATTTATTAGTTGTAGTTTTGACCTGAGACATTTGTGAATCTTTTAAGCCACAAAACAGTCCCTATTAGTGGGATATTTTTAAAAAAAATTTGGTGTTTTTGAAATTTTTGAGCTAGGTCAAAATTTTGGTTTTTTGTCAATTTTACCAATTTAAATCACACAAATGGGCAATTTTACCGGATTAACTGATTAAAAACAAAATTCTCTTGAGTTTGATCCAGGTGATTTAGTGTAAATAAAAAATTTCAAAAAACTGCATTTTTTTTCAAAAAATACCGCGCTAATAGGGCTGTACTATGGCTTAAAAGATTCACAAATGTCTCAGGTTACTTTTAACGGATACATAGGTGTTAATTGTACAAATACTTTTACATAGCAAGAATAAACTAGGTTTACCCAAGGTATGTCCAACACAAATAACACACTGATGACTACTTAAATCCGCTCAAACCTAGATCAAAGTCAAGATAATTTTGTCTGCTATCAGAATATCCGGTAAAATTGCCCATTTGTGTGATTTGAATTGTCAAAATTTACAAAATACGAAAGGTTCGACTAAGCTCAACATTTTCAAAAAAATGCATTTTTTTTCCAAAAATACCACACTAATATTTTTTAGACATTGACTGTGGCAAAATTTTAAAATAATTTTTGTTCATTGATTATTTTTTACATTGAATTAATTAGTTAACTAACAATAGTTTTGAAATTGTGCAATGATCGATGCCTTGAAAATGTTATGAAGAAATTAAATGTTTTTTTTTTAACTTAAAGCAAAGTATTCTTAGGAACAGTATGAAGTAGAAGCATATGTTTTTGTACAAAAATAGATTGTACATGCGTTATAAATATTGAAAAAAAATTAAAAGCTTCTTCTTTCTCATGGTATTATTTATGTTTAACAATTTTAGCTTATGTTAAGTTTGAGTTAAAATTGCCCATATAATGCGCCTTAATAATATGCTAGTGTAAAATAATAGTTATTATATATACATTTTAATATTATAATTCCCTGCTATTCGATGTTATGTATATTTCTTATTCTAGTTGATATTCTACTTCTGGACCTTCAATTATACAAGGCAAATTACCTTTTAAGTCTACTAAATTTAATGTTTTACTTTTCAAAGGATATCTACTCTTAAGTAATTAGATAGGTATATTTTAATTATCTAACACAGCTCCATTTTTAGAGTATCCTAGCCAAGGAGTACTCTTTGATGTTATAAAATAACTTTTAACAACATTTTTTTGAGTTTACTGAGTACTATATTATAATAATATAGTGTTTTCAAAAATTCCACACATGCCCAGAGAGAAAATTCAAGGAAATAGAAATACGATTCAAAAAAAATACAGGTATTGGGTATTATTTCTTATCCTGCGCCGTTGCCCCAATGATAGGGCGTGACCTATCGGACAAACGGTGTACCAGCAATATGGAGACAGTCGCCACCTGACGGTGCTATGTACATTTTTAAAAAAGATTTCACATCGCTTTTTATTTTCAGATTTAAATTGTCTTAAGTTAAGACTATCAACTATGTGGCGTGTTTTAAGACACTGGTCTAGTCCGATTGACTATCGTGGGCAAACAATTTTATCAACATTTTTCATACATTTTAGTTTAAAAAAATTGTTTTTTTAACTTTTTTTCTTATATAAAATACTTTATTTTAAAAGACTTGGTAATTTTATTTTTATTCCTTTTAAAATTAAATTTAAATACTTCATAATTCATTAAGATACACTAATTTATTTTTTCCGAGTAGTAGTTAGTGTAGGTAGGTAAAAAAGTATTATAAAACTGTACATTGAAATATTTGTTTAAGATGCATGAACAATTTTTCCTAATACGATACTAGATAAAATTCAAAATCATGTTTATAATTATTTTATATCAATTCCAGAGTTCTGTCATGCAACTTTTTAATTTTCATTCTGATTGTACAGATGGCGCAACTGTATTAATATAATATCTACTATGATGGTCGTCCGTAAACAGTGTACCACTTTTCTTAGAAGAACTTCTACTTCTTCGCATTTTCTCATACAAAAGGGGCCAAATTCACTTCACAAATTTATCTACTACGATTACTTTATGATTTACAAACATCTGCTTGGCTTTATGACATCCAGCCACTTTTTTTTCGACTAATCTCTATCACCAGGTTTACTAGGTATTTTATTTTCCTTCCTTATTTAAAAATTGTATTTAATTAGATAGTATATAGAAATAATACGGCTATTAAAAGATAGCTGACAACTGCATATACCTACATTGCACATCCCACATGACAAATTTTATTTCAGATATTTTAAGGCGGAAATAGGAAAGGCAATTTATTGATATTTTTGCGAAGTCTGTAAACAATAGGGAACGGAGTCTGTATTTTTAGCCTTTAGGTCATGATTGTGCAAATACCATCAAACGATATTATTTGTTAAGGTTTAATGGAAACGGTATTGCGAGGAAAACGTAAAGCCGTATTTTTTAACTATGTGAACAAAATACCATACTAACTTTCCCATCCAGCAAACAACATTTTTATCAAACTTCTGTCCTTCCAGGTAAGAACTTCCCATACAATTGAAGACAACTATTTTCACCCGCCACTTCGGGTAATGAGGTTTTGTAAAATATTAATCTGAATGCGTTTGTTGCGTTTGCCTGATATAAAGACTATGTATACAAGTGATGTATGAGCTGCTATTATTTTATTTGGGTTTTAACAAAAAAAACCAATTTAAATCTTTTACCTTAACCTGCGGTTTTAATCCTCCCTCTAAATAACAGCCATAATTAAAAACAGCAATATATACATTTTCACGCTTGGGTTAAAAAATACTGATGAGCTACGCAATTCGCTACAACTAATTTATGCGAACCATCTTCTAAATTTTTCCCGTTATAAGCGCCACAGGCCGCTTCCAAATTTTCTCTTATGAACCCCTTTTTTAGTTTCTTAACAATTTCAAGTATGTGTAATAGTAATTTTGTTGAATTTAGCGTTCAGTTAAGTGAATTCTACTTGGTGTCATGGTTATAAAAGAAATAAAAATTACTTTTGTTTTTTTGCCTAGATCCCAAGAAGGTATATTATGAAATGACTTTTATACTGTTAATTTATGCATGAAATAATTTTCGTGCACATACCATTTTTTCATGTTTCACATTGGTTGCCGATAAACTCCAAGCATATTGTTGGGGTTAAATATATTCCCTTCTTTAAGAAATTATGAAGGTAATATTATAATATACATTTTACAAAATATTTAAAATTCTACCGAAAAAAAGTTATCACTGATAGGTTAAGAAAATATAATTTTCTAAACCAAAACCCAAATACCGACTTTATTGAAAAACGGATAAGACATTCCATCTAAATAAACAGCGTTTTTCTTTTTCACAATAAAAGTTTTGGTGAAAAAAAAACTGATATTAAATATAATAGGTACATAATATAAGTATTAATAACGAGTCCTCGCCAATGTATACTAATAAATAAAAAGTTAATTTGATATACTCCAAATGGTAGAACTCGGTTCTAGCGGGTTCCTCAATATTAATTTGAGCAACTTAATCAAGTTAATATTAACATTCAACTCAAATGAGTATAAGAGTGATCGATGCTAATGATTTAATATGAGCTGTATCCAAATATAGGATCAATTTGGGTAGTTGTAAACGAGTGTGCCAAATGAAAAGACTCAAAAAATTTTGTATTATGTATGTACAGTAAGTACATTAGCATATTATAACTAAAAGTATATGGTTAAAATTGAAAATTGAAAAAATAATTTATTAAATATTATATTAATATAATGTGATAATGCGAATGTAAAGACTTACATTTTGTCCTTTTTCTTACAGTCATCCTACATATTAGACCCTACATGCTACACTTGTAACAAATTTGTGTACATTTTTTTTTAGTGGTTTTTCACTCAATTTTTTTGTAATTTTATGCTAAAAATGAATAAATTTAAATTAATGAAAAACACATTTATATACTGGGCATGTTTTCTAGTAGACTTGAGTGGCTGCACTGGTGGTTGCTTTTTAACGTGGCCACGTTCGCCGGCGATAAGGGCGACAGGGTGAAGTCGACCCCCTGTTGATGAGATACTGAACTAGAGTTCGGCGCCGGTCTTTCGGCAGTGTGCTTTCAACGGTCGGTCATAGTCGTTTAGAGTGCGTCGGTGTCGACGGCATGGCCAATATGATGCGAAAAATATAGTTGAATTTCGTAAAAAAAAAAAAAAAAAATCTACCCTGTGGATTTGTATGTAATATATAAAAAAAAACAACAATAAATATTTTTTTAACGGCGAGTTCCGACTCGCTTGCGAAACCCTTGGCGTGGTCACTATGACATAGTTGGTCAAATTTAATAATACTACATCATCATTATTGTCGTTCGGCTAAAAGACAAAAAATAAAAATCACCGTCGTTCATAATCCGGCGTGCCTATTTAATATGCCGATTTATTATCCACGACAAGCGGATCGCTAGACGAGCATCAAACGAGTGAGTACGGTTTGTTTTATTATTTGTTGCAATTTGTGTGTGTGTGTTTACTACACGCCCAGTGTTTTTTATACGTCATAAAAGACATAATAATACATACACCTACGGTCGTGTAGTAAGCCGGCCAATGCGCATAATATAATTTTCGGGGAAAAATAAAAAGTTTTTCAACAAAAAAAAAACCAGTGTCGCGATCAACAAAAGTACTACACGTTGCTCGTTGCAAACGGTTATGTTTACTTTAACCCAATTAAAAATGTATATTGTACAAATTTCTGGTTTTTTTATTATTCATGATTCGAGTATCAAATATCATTGAGCACCGAAAGGAACAAGGGCAGGCGGGACATTTGTCAATGGTCTTTCGATGTGTTTGGGCCCTCGCACTTTACATTGGTCTCGGCCCGTTTCACAAACACTGAAAAAACTCACCTAGGTCGCAGCGTTTTTATTTATTTTTTTTGATAACTTATACACAAACAAGCTATTCATTTGTAAAGATTGTATTTTTCTTTCTTTTTATTCGTTTGTTTATTAAAAGTTAGTGAGTTATATATATATATATATATATATATATATATATATATATATATATATATATAAAAAAACGATACGACACAGATAAAGTACTCTTTTTATGTATTTTGAAAATTGGGTAATTTTACTGAATACCTTATAAGTTAATCCCTCGATAAGCAGTTTTGATGAGAAAAAAAATTGTAATAATTTATCCTATAGATGTGACTGTAATAGTCTGACAAAAAAATAAATGACAATCAATAAAGAATCCTCATTACTGTATTAAGTAATTAAAAATAAGTATACGCTATAGTTGAAAATACATCTTGTGAAAAATTGCCTATACTTTACTCCTTAATAAATAGGGGATATCACGTTCAATTTAATTATTATTGAAAAGTAACTGCTAAAGGAAAAAAATATAAAAGCGACTTAACTAATGTTTAACCTCATTAAGCTTGTTGAAAGTTTAATTAAGTTTAACTTGTATCTGATACAAAGCAAACAATTTAACTTAATTAAAACAAGCTACTAACTTTTCGCAAAAAGATGCCGAAGGAACACATGATTTTTGGTAAGCTCAATAGCAGAGTTTGCCCGGGGCCTCCTAAAACTAAGTTACAGCCTTAATAATACTGTATAATGTTTTGAAACTAAAAATATTGCTAACATTTACTAACAATGCGAGTATTTCCTGTCGTTTGCACAAACATTATAAGTACCCAATTCATATGCGCAGAGCATTCACCAACATTAGTAATCAGCTTGTGCCATTGAGCAACTAATATTACTATAGCTGAAGTGAAATATCTAGACAATCACAAGCTTGACAAACTTTAGGAATTCTTGTATCTAAAAAACACGACCACAGCAGCTGGTATTAGGACACCCGAGAAATCAGAAAATGCACAGCGAACTGGAACCTAACCCGTAAATGTATACAGAGCTCAAGTGCTTTATGTTGCCACTCTGGCAATACTTTTGAGCCACGGCTGACGGGGATTCCACTAGACGCAATAGGCTCGTCCCCGGTTCCTTTGATTGATCAACCGATAAAAATATATTAACAGTAAGACGGCTGTCGTTTTTGAACGAATACAGTTTACCTACTGTTGAAGCGTCTGCACGTTTACGAGTTTTCAATGGCATTAATAATGCATTTTCAATTAAACCGTACCAATATACACGGCACTTAATTATTGCGCTTTCCTTTTACGACGGAAGATTTTGAATTTAAATGCAAATTAAGACTACAACAACAGGTACTCGTGGCGCTCTTGAATAATGCGATTATATTTCTATAAGCAATTCCTCTTGTCGTTCGACCTCTCTTGTGTTGTACCTCTGCCCATCGACCAGCTGGTGATATGCAAGTCTCGAGTCGCGACTAATAGATAACAAATATTGTCATCGAAGAAGTAAAAAAAAGAGAATTTTTATTTACTTAGCTGCTTGTTATTGTTGGGACGGCAAAGTTGCCAAATGGTTATTTTTGAAAATTTCACCGCCGTTTGTCACGCATAATGCTATGCAAATCTCGTAAATCGGTAAATATGAATCATTTCAATAGTAACATACAATTTACCGTTCTGCGGCGTTTCCCCTTGTTCTATATAAGAGGTGCCCATAAGCTGCAGGTGGTTGCGACGCGTCCAACTGAAGCAATCTATATAATATAAGCGAAAATTATGTTAAATGAATCGTACAAACGATTCGAATCCCTTCGACAATAGCTTTGGCACGTTCCTTCGCTTTTCCTTTCTATTCCTCAAAGAATACTGGCCTTGGCGTGGCGTATATTGTTGAAAATATTTGTTTACTGTTAACATTATGACAAATAATTCTACATTGTTTTTATAGGATAGCGGTAGTCTATACGCCGTTTCGTTTTGAAAATGGCTTTCAGACTTATATCCTTCAAATTTAAAATATAATTTATTGAAGTCTCGTTTTAAGGTTTTGTATTGAAAAAGTAGACAATATTTATTATTTCGAAAATAAAAACATTATTAGTTTGCGCTTTTGTTTTATTTTATTGATAAATTTCGGTTTTATACAAACAAACGGTATCATAAAAAATGTGTGCGTAATATCTGATAATTTATTTATTACAAAAGTTAACGTCGTACTTAAGACTTTATTTACTAAATTGTTTCTCTGGAATGTTTTTATCCGAGATGAATATACAGTTACAAGTGGTTTGCATTATTTTGAAAGTTCTTATTATTTATTATTAATAACGATTTCATCTGAAACAAGTCTCTACAGTATCATCAGTGCAAATCTAATACAAGTATAATATATACACAACGTTACTATTTTTATACTTTTTCGTTGCACGTGCACTGAGAAAAACGTCTTGTCATATCTTTTCAGTTCCTATTAGATATTTACATATATGTTGTACATAGGTTTTAACGGCTTTTCAGCTGTGATTAATTTATAAACATCTTGGCAAAATCAGAAAAAATCATTAAAAAAATACCTTCTCAGCTCGCATTAAAGCTAAACATGTCACAATATTTGATGAAATAAATGGGAAATCGGTTCCGAAGAGGACCTTTTAGTTATATTTTTTTAATGTAAAATTAATAAAATAAATTATAATTTACAAATTACACGAAAAATGCAAATTAATTGGTAATGTAAAAAATATGTATGCAAAAAAAAAATAAATGACACAAACGAATAATAATATAAATATTCCTATTTTTACACTTTGTCAAATGCGAAAAAAAAATTAAAAACGTGAAAATTGTTATACATTTATTTTAATATTTATATTAGGTCCTAAAAACATGAATGATGTTTTTTTTTCTATTTGCTGTATTTCGGAAATAAAATTATTATTACAAAATTTCGTTTTACAACGGTCCGCAACCACATAAACGTCATATAACCGGATATAGAACTGTAAAATAAATCAGTGTTGAGTTTATAATAATAGTGGCCAAAAACTTGTGTTATATTGCACCGTGATAAAACAAAACAAAAATCGGAAACTCTGTCCTATCTAGACGGTATTAATTATTAAGTATACTTAATACGTATAAGGTCAAAGAAGTGCGAAAAACGAGGAGGAATTGAGTTTGTTTTTTGTTAGGTAACGTTACTCGTGAAAACGACATAATATATCTCTATAATATATTTATGTATGTAGTCTTAACAAAAAAAAACGATACTTCTGCTATACAAAGGGTAAGATTTACACTTTCACCACGTAGTCCATGACGTATTATCACGTTATTACCGAATGTATAAGTATATATTTTTAAAATCAATATCACACCGGTGCGGCAGGTAATAACACATTCTAGTCGTGTTTGATTAAAATAGGATTTTCGTATTGGCCCGCAAGACAGATTTCGGTTTATCGCGTAAAATTGCACCCTCGAGAAATAGCTGTCCTTAATCTTTTACTCGGGGTGTAAAAAAGTATCTAAACTGTTAACTCGAAATCAACGATCGCCACCATAATTCAGTTTAGTCGAATCATCATTTTTTACGTTCCTTTTCGCGTTCAATTTTTTTTACGCTCTCGTGTTACGAGTTGAACGTTTATAGCGTTAAAAAAAAATATATATATTTACAAGAAACAACAAATTCTTTACCAAGATAAGAGATTCAATTAGTTTGTACCAACTGTTCGTATAGATACTGACAATTAGTGCAAAAATAATTGTGTGCTAACATAACAATGTCACCCGTCGTATAGTAAATAGGTTGGCACTTGAAAACCGTACTCAATATCGTTTTCAATGGTGTACACACAGTTTGTTATAATTTAATTTTACCCAAAACACTTGTTTCGTTTGTTGCAATCTAGAACGTTAAAATGCTTACATATTATAAACTGGCTATAATGAAATATTATAACAAATTGATCTATTACGGTCAACTTGATGGTTTTTTATTTAGATTGAAAACAGTTAAAGTTTAGACGTCAAGCAAATAGGAACTAATATTATTTTAATATCAATTAGTATTTATTTGATACCATTGAACTCAATTTTAACCAGTATTCACTTATCAGTAAACCCCAAATCTGTCGCCTTAGAACATCGTTTTGGGCTTTATTTATTTTTTATTTTATGCTTTTACCGATTTATGTACTCGTTTTGTTTGCTCGTTTATTCGTTTTATTTACTCGTTTATTAGATTTATTTACACGTCCCTCGACAAGGAGAAACATTTGAATCGTGTTGAATTAAGATTAGGAGTGGTTGGGTGCCATAAAACATACTAATGGTTCATATGTTTTACATTGGAGAGAAGGAAATTGGATTTTGTCTGGAAAAAGGCAGGCATTTGATTATAGTGTTTATCTATATAAAAATAACAACATAGATTTTTGATTTAGATAAAAAATAAAATGTTATATTTTTTTTAATGTATTATATAAAAAAAAATAACCAAATAAATAAAACATATTTCTTTTTTAATACGGAACACAAGCTTATGCTCTAATGAGAAAAAACTGATAAAAATCAACTACATTTCGTAATATTAACGAACGAATTAATATTATCCTTGTTTTGCGAGTTGAACGAATACCAAAAAAAAACATCTCTCCATGTCACCTGTTAATTATACACATATAATAATCTATTTCAAAAATAATATACTCTTTCTTTGCTGCGAATAATATTATATTACCTATATTTTGTACCCGGTATAGATGTATTTATATTATATTATGGTTAAAAACAATTAAGAGGATTGAGGAAAAATGGCGACCAGCTGCAAGTACGTTATTACAAGGTAACGATTGTGTTGTCGGTTGTGTGTTTTTATTTAATTGCACTTGAACGCCTCACTTTGTAGTTTGTCAAATACCTAGTCTTTTGATATTTTCTTTTGCACTCGACCCGAATGCGCGGTTTGTGTTCTATTGTAAACGAAGCATGTTAGTAAACCCAAAAACGTTTGAACAATGTACGTAGTTTACCGGATTTCCTCGAATGAACACAAACTCTTATAAGATTAGATTTCGTAATACGAACTGAAATTCCCCAGGGTGCCTACATTTACAAATAACCGTTAACGACAAATAGTACCTCACAAAGAACGCGGACTTATGATTTGATCGATACACACTTGTCCTTAGATGTCGTTAAAAGTTTTGTACTGTTGACGACGTTGTTGGTTATGTCGACGCTATAAACGATTATAATAAATTTACACTTGGTTGAAATTACAACTAATTCGGAACAATCAACAGGACATTGTTTTCTTTTATAATATTATCGACGATACGTTTTTAAACCATACTTGAACATATTTAGAACACAATTAAACTAACGAAAAACGAAAATTCCGGTGTAATATCGGCGTTTATCAACATAAAACATTTCTGTTTTTTTAGGGTAAAGATATTGTTTTCCTTAACGTGAAAATGAAAACAATATAATATAATTCAATTGAAATTTCGACAAAATAGAACAACACGGCCCCGCGCGGTGCAGTCGGGGGATGATATTGCGTTTTGGTGTAAAGAGGACACACCATATACATTTGGATTCCCTTAGGTCGTATTTGCTGTGCTGCTGTATAGAGTTTGTCAGTCACCATCTGTATAACGATTTCACGTCGCGCTGACCATATGGGGGGGGGGGGTGAGGGGAGGTGGATTTAAGGTAAAAACGAGTTTGTACATACCTGTGTATATTATAGTGTACTCTATAAAATATGCACAGACGTATTCACTATAATATTCATAAGTTTGTTTTTCGATTTTGTATGTAACGCAATTTTATGTTTTACGGTGCTTAGTGGTGTTTTTTTTTTTTTGCAAAAACCATGTTACGTTAAGTAAATGTTAAGATATTTAATCGTCGACAGCCATTTTTCCCCATTTCCGCGCACCGGGTAACTTATATAAAGCAAGAAAGCGAAATTATCTATGCGGATGTACGCCGACTGGAACAGGACGACTTTTAGGTGTTTTTCTGTCGACTTTTCCAACACTACTCGGTGGTTCCACTTGCCCAAACAAACGTTCGCGCGGCCGTGGGTCTGGACATTGTTTATCCCGTGGTAGATTGCCGGCCATTTCAAACGAACTACACTCGGCTTGTTTTCGTTCCCTTCGGATGCGGTTGACGACAACATTGATCCCAGCTATATATATATTTATATATATTGTTGTTTTGTATGATTTCTTCCCGTTCGTTTGTAGTTTTAGATATCGCCTTTCCCTTCTCGTTAGATTACGCAATAGTTGCGACCAAACGCCGTTATCTTCTTTATGTAAGCTGGTGGCATTAGTTTTGACGTTTTGCTCGGCGTCCGACATCCTAAAATGGTATCGTTTCTTTCTATGGTCGTAATCGGATATTTGTTTTGCATCGACGGAACGGGGCAAACCGCCAGTCAGCCCCAAGTCCTGTCCAAACAAATACTTAGTTGCGAATTTCAATGAGCCGAGGTTGTCGTTTCGTGCACTGCCGTTCGATATGCCACTTATGAGGTGACGTTATAAAAACGCTAAAAATCGTTCAATAACAGCTTTCCATAGTATCATATTATTATTGTCGTCAGTGTAAACGGCAATGTTGTAATGTAAAAATCGAATACCACACTTTTATGTTTGTGAATCCCAAAAAACATTTTCCTACGTCTGGTTGGAACGACCAGCACGGCGGCTGATGTTTTTCAGAGTAGTATCATATTATGCCACGACAAAAGCTCCAAGGTACTTGACCTACTACTAACCCTCGAAAAGTAACACATGTTTTGTCCGGAACGATGTTTTGATGGACAGTCCTCGTACAGTTCTTGAGTACCTATTTTCACCGAGCTATTTGTTTTGTATAGTCTCTGCGGTTTTATTGAACGTCGTGATACACATAAAGATTCCATTCCTTATGATTTTACGGAGGGACTGGTGTATCTATTTTATAAAATATTTTAAAACTCTACAGGAAAAAAGTCGAATTACTGAGTCGAGAAAATACTTTTTTTCTTAATCAAATGCCACTTTTTACTAACAAACATGTTTGATCGTCGTATTTCCAAGTACACGGTAGTTAAGTTATAAGTGATATAACACTCATATATTGGTACAAGTGATGCGTGTTCAGGTGTTCAGCCTCGTTGGTGGATTGCGCAAATAAATATGTAGGCAGTTAAGGGTTTTTTTGACATTTTTATGTCTTTGCTTTGGCACACAATCGGAAAAAATGACTTTTACCTTTTAACTACAGTTAACAGTTACCTATGGCAACGAAAGTTACCTAAAAACCTAACGGTCCTTATATATATCCTTTTCCAGGGCCCATACAAACGTATTAAAGCTTTCCGTCATTTTTTACTGTTGCTATGCCTCTGAAGAAATTAGATATTAAAAAAAAAAAAAAAAGGAATAAAAGTATTGCATTTTATCAAATAAAATAAATATATAATACAATCAATAATAAGTATTTTATTAAGTGATTCAATTGCTTATAACAATAAAGAAATATACTTAAAACAACACCAGTATAGCTATTTATACAGCGAGCAATTAACTTGGTACTTGGTGTGCACAGTTACAACTTATATAAAACTATGTAGTAGCTATTGAAAAAGCTAGCACAATCTAACATAGACATTTTTTTTTACTTATAATATTACCTAGAGAGCTCGGAAATATGTCTTGGTATTATCCAAACCTCAAGAAGACATAAAGAGCGATTTGTATTAATGCGAACCTATTAAATGTTTTTTTTTGATAGCGCGTAGGTACATGTCACGAACATTGTCATTTAATGTAGTAATTTATTTTATTATTTAATGGTAATGCGAAGACATTACGTTGAATCGCAAGTGATTAACGTTCACCGAACCGTCCCTTGTGGGGATTTCGTTCCTTATTTATAAATTATGTAACTTTTATTACTTGGTATAAAAAAATTAAATTATCATAAACAATATCTTTCGTTCTATGCATCTCGAGTTAAATAGTTAGATTCATATTTTATTTTGAAAACAAGTATTTATAGTCAGTATAATATTATATACGGTCAACCTAATTATTTGCTGTTTACTATTTTCTAAAATATTTTAATAATTGCGATTTCTTCACTGCACATTAAAGTTCAATGTTATATAAATGTCGTGTATGTTATTGGTTTAAATAATTTATTCTAATTAACGCTACCAGCTATCTATGAATAAAATATTATTATATTAACAATGTCTTAGTAAATTCGAGCAATAATTATTATATTATTCAGTATTTTACTTTGACTACTAATAACAAACCATTTACAGCCAAGTCAACGAACGGATATGCCACTGTTTTGTGAAAAATAAACTAATTAGCATTTCACTAAAAACTTAGTGAGCGCATTCATATATACATATGCAGCGAAACTGTGTGAGCATAAAAGGATTTACGGAATAATTCAATTTAAACATAGCTGGGTATTACGGAGGTGAGCTACACATGCAAACATAATATAAGTCGGGATTTTATGTCTACCGCAATAAACGAGCAAAGGAAAGGCATAAATCATTTAATTAGCAAAACGTTCAAATAGTGTACATTATGAAATCACTCTTCCTGTACCGTTAAACACTAGCAAGTTTTTACCTTCATTACCTCTCAGCCTGAAATCAATTTTCAAGTTAGCTGAAGTAATCAATCATTGTTTTACTAGTACTGTACTTTTTATATATTGTTTTTATACTTGTGTGACCCTGACCCTATATTTCAAGGGCAAACAAAAAAAAATGTCTACATTTACCCCTTCTAAATCAAGCAAGTTCCTAGATATCAATCATTTTCATATTACGGCACGATAAAACAGATTAAAAAAAAGTCATTCAAACATGTTTGTCAAAATTACAAATTTTACAAAATACAACTTGATAATAAGTACTAGAAAAACTTCCAAATTTTAATTGGGTATTTCTTAGCGTTACATATGAAAAACAATGAAATATGATTAACCTTATCACACACAAGTGTATTACTCTTGTTTATGTTTCAAATTTTAACTTGTTTATACAAGTTAAAATTTACTTATTAAGTCAATTATTTGACTGTATTATTGAAATACAGTATAATATTAAAATGTTTAAACTTTAAGAAAAAACGTATAGTTCAATGTATTTTCAAATGAAAATCGAAGGTTTAAAATTGTATCTAATATTATTACTAAATATTGATATAATGTGTACCTACTAAATTATAGTAAAGTGTATTTTTCTTAAAATACCAAAAATTGGTCGCTTTTTATGACTTTAATGTATTCAATGGCTCAATATTTACGACACTATTTTAATATTATCAGAATATGCGAATAAATATTAAATAGGTAACAAAATAAATATAGTTTATATATTAGCAACATAAGTGTTTATAATCGTTATTAAAACGATTTGTTTTTTGTTTGATTTGCTTTTTGTTATTAAGTACAATAAACTAAATTTAAAAATAAAATAATATTTAAATTTCGATATTATTGTAGAAAGTACAATTTCTTTAAATATAATAATAATAATAATAGTAGTACTATCAAATGAGTATTATTCCTATAAACCCTTTAACAGTTCAGAAAGTTTCGCACCATCACTACTATTTTTGGCTATTTGCCAATAGTTGTTTGATTGGTGTTTGTAACTAATAACGTTAATATTTATATCTTCTAGAATACAAATTTTATCTTTCACCGTAGCCTGAACTACAAAGTTATCTGGAAATTTAATACTTCTAAGGAATCCTAATAATCGACACATCGGCAATGAATCTTTGAAGTCTTGATTATCTCCCGCTAAAAAAATAAAAAAATTACCAAATTTCAGTTTATTTATCACTACTTTTCTTTATTTTCAAAACTCATGTATAACAAACCATAGAGAAATATGTTTTATTTCTCTATGGTTTGTTATACATACAGGGTGTCCATATTGTACAAACATGTTACTCCCAGTCAAACTTTTTTAAATACCATCTATATCATGATTACTCATCGAAATTGTAAACAAATATAGTTAAAAAAAAAAGAAAACCCACAGTTTGTTTCATAAATAAGTTTGTTAGAACTTGCATTTTTAAGTTTTACCTTGTTGAAGTGGATTGTATATTAAAAAAAAATGTCTGTTACCGATGACTAAATATTATTTACAAATTTATATTCTAATTATAATTTATTACGTGATTTTAAGAAGTAAAATTAGTTAAAAATAATTGACGTTAAAACCAAAAGACAATCAAAGAATAAGAACTAAATTGAAAATACAAAGTGCAATCATAATATTACCAAAAACTTATCGAAGGAAAAACGAGTCTAGTCAAATATAAATGTTGTGTGAGTTCTATAAATATATTATTAATTAAAAAAAAGTTTTTTTTTATTTGTTATAAAATTAAAATAATTAAAATGATAACAATACGTGTATTTAATTATATATATTATGTATTTTGTTATATATAAAACGGTAAAAATCTTTATAAATATTACCTAGTACACCTTCAATTACATTTTTTACAGCTTTTCCAATTACATCTCTTCTTTTCTCTCCTAATTCTAACAGAGTCTTTCCTTTAAATTGATCTTAATGAAAACAATAAAAAAACTCATTATATTCTCTTGGTAGAGTTGCATTACATTTAAAGGACTATAATGTTGCTAATTTTTTGTACAACCTGGTATTTTTAGCTATTCGTAGCCCACATTTTAAATGTTAAACTAAATTAATTTATTCGACAATTCAAAATTACGGTGCGCTATGATGTTTTGAAATGTTGTCGAATAAGTTCCAAATTTAGATAAATATCGTGTACATTTTCCCTCAACACGTGTATAGTAAATAAGCTTTGAATAGTGGAAAAATCACCACAACATTCATAGACTTACAGAGGCTCACAACACTGTTCAAACAGTGCTAGGCTACTGTTCAAATTGTTTAGAGCTATTTTAAAGTTATTTCATGTAAAACATTGTCCAAATCTAGATTAGTAGGCATATACTCGGTTACAAGTAGGAAATTAATATTTTAAAGAATGGTGTACCGCACGTTTCAATTTTTGCACCCCTTTTGATTAACTTGTACATGTTAGCGGTTACCAAGCTAAATCTCCAAAAACTTCATATATGATTGTTATTACCTTTAGATTTTGTCGTAGATGTATCGGAACCTTTAACCAAAATGTAAAATATCAAATAATTATACAGTTAATAAAAATCATTTAGTAGCCGTGGTTAGGTTAATGTTTTGAATGACGACCAAAAATAATATAAGATTATGACTTTTAACTTCAAACAAATATTTATCGTTTTATCTATAACCAGAAAATAAACTACAAAATCCCTTAAACAAGGGGTTCCCTTCTCGTATAATTCATGTGTTTTTATAAACCTTTTTTTATAAAAATGCTTATTGTGCAAATTGTACATGTGTGTATTATTCAACAAAATATATTAAAGCAAAAAAACTACATAATTATCAAACTCAATAATTATTCGTTTAAAAGGTTAAGTTTTATATTTACTTTCAACATGCGATATTTCTGATAGCACATAATACTGGCATAGTAACATTTCTAAAATAAAATAAAACAAAATAAACTTTAATGTACGTTTTACTTCAATACATCATTGCTTAAGGTAAAACTCATAATATGTAAATATGTGTTATTTTCAATACACTAATAATATGACTTTGTGAAAAGTAATGTAAGTATAAATTATAAAAAAGTGATTACGTCCTGAGGTGTCAGCTATACTTTCTGAAATTTAAGCAAACAAATAATATACTTAATAAATATCAAATAAATATGTGGACATATTAAAATTAAATTAATCATAAAATTAAAAATAATTACCCGGTACTACTAACATATTCGATATGTCCCCTGAAACATAAATGTATTATTTAATAACACTAGAATAATTTGTATTCTAATATAAATAATAAAACGGAAATTATGTAGAAAACATATTGTTTTATATAAAAACTTGTTTGGATCTATTATATTAAAATATGTAAACAATATGGTAATAAAATAGCTGAATTGAGGTAGATATGGCAAGTAAAATAAAATATAATAAAGAGATAGGTTAAATCAGAGTTGTTTGTCACAAAGATTTTATAAATTTGCATAAATAAAAATTGCTGTAATTCTTATACTGTTTTCAAAACATTTTTTTACTTGCAATCATTATCTTAAAATATTATTTTTATTATAGAGCTATAATTACTCATCGTATACTTCTGACTGGCACGAACAATATTTGTAATAATTTCCGGCAAGGGATCTAAAATAAATAAATAATGGTTTGAGCTATCGAAAAAATCTAGGAAAAACGTTCAAAGTATTTTTGGTTATACATAGTTATGAAAAAAAATATTATAGTATTTTAAATGAAATCCTGATAGGACGTCATACCCTTTAAAAATAATCGTAAAAAGTAAAAACGTGTTTTTTTTTTAATAATATTAAAACATATGATTGTTTTATGTAAAAAAAATGGGTTTCGATATTGAAAAAAAGCAAATTTAATATATTTACTAATAAGAAACTAAAATTTTTAAATGAAAATTGGCTTTCTATATATCATAGTAAAGTAGCCAAAGAATTCGAATCCCTTTACAGAACTGAAATTAGGTCATCTTAAGTAGTCGAAATTTTGTCTAGCTTTTTGACCTAAAATAAGCCAAAAGGACTTTTACTCATAGAAAAAATTATATAAATAAAAATAATACCTTTAGCTTATATAAATTAACCGGAAAATTATCTAACATGGTCATATTTATTAAAACCACTTTTTTCTTAAATATTGCCTTTACAAAACTCCTTAATAACATACCGCATGCAATCCCCTTAATTCAACTACGACTTATAATATATCAAATAATAGTATAATATTAAAAACTATATAATACTTAATACAACCAATAACACATTGTGTTTAATTTCATCCGCGTGTCCAGTGACACACAACATTTTTAAATTACTTTATTGATTTTGTGATATGGTTAATGTTATTAATTAAACTACAGTTAGAATTACTGTTTAAATTTATGTTTTTATTTAATGTAAAAGTGAATCTAATTGGTAAGATGTACCTACATGTAAATTTAAATTAGCGTTTATATCAAAATAAACAAATTAAAAAAAGCTAGGAAAGTGGGGTTGAGGAATAGGGGGACAGAGCATATTCTTAATATAAACAGATTAAAGAAACTATAATTTTTTAATTTGAACATCATTTGATGATCAGACAAAAATATAAAAAAAACAATTAAATTTTAGTATTTGAATTTTAAGTATATTTTACCTTTTACATCGTTGATACGATTGTCTGTAATAAATAGTATAAACAAAATAAATACAAAAAATTATTTCGTATGATAAAAATTGTTTACTTACTTACTATCTTAACCATTGCAACATATTCATCTGTATAAGAAATTGAAATATTGAGGTTTATAGTTTTGCACTACCTCGTATATTTTTTGTAAAAATTCTGATCGATCAGTATGATTAACATGGTTAAATTGAGATTCTCTACAACAGAGATCTGTGCTAGTTTTATTTTAACATCTTAATAACACGATTCATACGATTTTTTTTATTGATTTATTGTAATATAGTTATTTATTAACTATTTTTCTTTTGTTTTGTTTGATGTCAAATAAATATATAATTATTATAAAATTAAATAATCACCTAATTCAGCTACCAAAACATTTACCAAGGTAAACGATATTAAAATACATAGAAGTTTCATTTTTTCTGAAAATAATAATAAACATTATACATTTTTATATAAGACTCAAGTCACCATTTAATGATTAGCTTTAAAGTGGAGCAAGATGTTTTATTTTTGTGACTGGATCCAAAATATCTTTAAAAACACTGAATTAATATCATTATATTATAGGAATTATATAGAACAGAAATCATACTTAAAGGATATTTTCTTAAGGAATAAAATAGAACAATTTTACATTTTCTTTTTTAAAATCGAGGAAAAACTTAAATTTTTCATATTTTTTAACTTAAAATTACAAAAAATTAAAATGCTGTTCTTAGAAAATATTCAACATCAGTTTTTAAATAATTTGATTATATTTGAACAAAGTTAAAGCGTGTCGTATTTTTAATGACGTGTTGAATTTCAGGTGGATTTTCTTGTTATTTTTTAGGAAGAACTAACATTGTTTTTTTAACTTTTGGCCCTTTAAAATATAATTCACACTAACTATATGTGTAGTTAGTATGCTATGTCATCAGTATATAGTACTCATATAGTATATATATGAGTACTTTCTGTAATATAGACTTGCAAAAAGTAATCGCAAGCAGATACAAAAATAAATAATTAGTAAAACTTAATAAAATTGATAAAAATTAAACTTACATTGTTTGAAATTGTACTGTATTTCTTACTTAAATTATTGAAATAAAAATAACCAATTCGAACACCTTTATGAACGATTTGTTTTAAAGTGATTTTCTGGCGACTAGTGGATATTTTTTTATGTCGACCGTAGCATTAATATCTTGGTATTGTGTAGTTTGTGTCTATATTCAGTTATTTGCAAAGCTGTTGTTTTTCAATGTGACGTCATATTTACATTAACCCGACGAAAGTTTAGACTATATTCTTCTTAGTTTTTGGTTTACATTATACATTTACCCCATATGTTTTGTTGTGTACTTATGCTATTTTTTCGATTAAAATCGCAAAAAACGTAGGATTAAATATAAGTGAAACACAAGAATTCATTTTTTTCTCTGGTTATGATTAATGACCTAAGGCCTACACTTTCGTGTAATGATATCTTAAACGTTTCTTATCATTTAAAAAACTTACAATTATAATGTCGAAATGATTTCTTTTTTTGTACCAAATCTGCACTTGTTTGTATAAAATGAATTGTAACACGACACAAACTTATTGAAAAACCTAATAAATTGAAATGCGCTTCCATATTAAGCGAAATATTTTTTATTCGTTATGTGATTAAAAATCAATAGTTGTTAGTAAAATTCTAAGCCTCCTAATTTGTTTGTACTTATTGTTAGAATAATTAATTTTAATATTTTAATCTAGAAAAAACTGTTAAGCAAACTTATGGTTAAATATATAGCAAAGATATAAAATCTAATGAACCCTAAACCATATAAATTATACACTTCTTGCGTACACGTGTTACGACAACGATGTTGTCATCTTCAGCGCCAACAACAGACTGTTCGTTGTCGTAACACGTGTACGCAAGAAGTGTATAATTTTTATGGTTTAGGGTTCAAGTAGATTTTATATCTTTACTTAATATTTTAAGTACAAAGAGATAATATAATATTTTGGAAATGATGTATACTTATATGAAAAATCACAATATGTTTTGAGTATTTTCCTTTAACGTACCAAATATGTCTGCAGAGATCTCTTTTTGAGATTTTCTTTGGTGGTATAAACTTTTTGAGTTAGCTTTCGTTTTGCAACATCCTTATCTGCTTTGTATACCGACTTCATTCTGTGTGTGTATTTATTCATATATTAGCGATGGGCTGGATCGCATGAAACAAATTTCTTCGGTTGACTTTGTTGTCGCCTCCCGAATGTTGTTAATCAGGCTGTTTGTTTTTGTGTTGTATTTTGATTGCCTTCAAGGAACCAAACTTGAAACTTTTGGCGGCAGTTCCGCGTTGGACTTAACATACATTTTCTGAAGCTACCGAGTTCATTTTTTATATTAATTTTTGGGTCTGTTTATACTGCACGTGACAAGACCCGTATTTGTTTACTGATGATTGGCTTTATCATTCGGTTGTTCTCAGCGGTTTACTGTCATAAAAATTAGAATGGTACATATTTCGGTATTATGCATTGCTACGATACGTACCTACTATACTACATCCTACCTACCATTTTTTAATAATTGTGCCAACTGCTGTAGGCTTATAACTTTCGGCGTATGGTGTAAGATACTAAGCATTGATTATACATGCCATGTTATAATTATATAATATATTATAATCAATAATACTTAGATGTAAATCTGATTGCGGCAAGTATAAGCAAAACTTTATAGTATTATATTTTGTTATATTTTTTCACAGGTTGTTTAGCTAAAACTATGTATTTCTTATAGGATGTTATAGATAATACAACATTAAGTATAATATATTATTATTATGTCATGAAAAAAATATGTAGGCCAATTTCCTTTTATATTTTACGACGCTATTATACGTTTATGATACATATATCCATTAAATCGTATTGTCTTCCCAAAGTTACGTGACCATCATATCTAAAGGCTTGCCATAAACGCTACATGGATCACGATTGTCTTCGAAACTATGTAAGTTTGAAATATCTGTGTCGACATTTTTTAAAAATAAATAAACAACATTTATACCATTCACAAAAATATATCAAGTTGTAAATGCAACAATATTTTTACCTTCGCCTAAATTAGAAGTAATATTTCAAATAGTCATTACACAACATAATAGTATATGGTAATATAACATATCAACATAGTGAGGTAATGTTTAAACTGCAATTCGTTTCTCACATTTTTTAGATTATCAATAATTAATTATTACATACCTATAATATATTATAATAGTAGAATCAGAATAAATTTGTGAAAAATCCATTTGAATAATTTTTACAATACTGAACAAATAATTCTACAGGAATAGAAAAAACTCATAATAGTACAGCTTGATTTTTTAACAGTTAATTATGATTTTGTAATGTTAACAATTGTGTTTTAAATATTACATTTATTATTATTATATAATTATTTTGTAAAAATTGAGTATTTTTGAGACGTAGTTGTTGATTTCCTGTAATAAATAAAAATTACATTTGAAAATAAAACTATCACAAGAGGAAACTCAACTTGAATTTTTAATCGCAACAATAGAACAACTTTTAATACAAATATAGACTCTAGAAATATTAATTTAATTTGTATTTCTTAATACAAATATTACCGATTACGCTTAATCATTAGGTCATGAATCACTTCCTCCACTTGATCCACTTCCTCCACTTGATCCACTTCCTTCACCTGATCCACTTCCTTCGCCTGATCCACTTCCTTTGCCTGATCCACTTCCATCCTTGGTGCCTAAACATTTTTTTTTTAATAATTGATGCTAGTTTTCGATATAAAGATATTAAATGTGTTTTAATTGGTTTCAATAATTTAAGTGCTATACTAAAAAAATATTAATAAATTAATACTCAAACCTGATATCCCGAAGCATTTAGCAAATTTCTTTACCAGCGGATTTTTAGAGAAACCACTCTCTGCACAAACAAATAAAGTAGTTTTTATTTTGTTTAATATGATTAATAAATTTTCGAGAGAATAACAAAACATAATAAATTAGAGTTTTTTTAACCACCTTAATATATACATAGTTATATATTATATTAAAAAAATAATATAAAGAGGCGTGAAATTAATACCATCAATTGTATTTTGTACATTTATAGTTTAATCTGAAGACCTATCATTTTACCAAGGTGTAGGTATATTTTAAAATTTAATAATTAATTTACTAAATTTTACCAAAAATAATTTTGTATCCCTCATTAGAACCATTTAAATGTATTTCATTACTATATTACTTATTAAAAGCCTAAAATGCCTAGAATAGATGTGAACGTTTAGCAAAAAAATACTAGAAATTTCAAGGAAGCTTGAAAGATATTATGGAGTTGACCCAAAAGTCTGAAGTGGGTAGTTAGTTTAAGTATAAGATTATAGATTTGAATTTTAATATCTAAATATTTAAATACTTTTAAATTGAAAGATTTATTGACTTTATTATTATTGAATTTATGTACCTGTATGTAATATACATTTGTATCTTATTATTATAGTTTACAATTTTGACACGACATATATGTATAATTCATAATAGTGACTTACCTGGTGTCGGCAGGCCACGAGTGACTGTAATAAAATATATTAATCATTAATATAATTTTTACATGTACACATACATAAGATTATGAGTGATTTATTATAGGTTGTCAAGTAAATTTATATTAATTAGTCATTTTGTATGTTAATAATGCCATGAATGGTTTAGTGTTAATATTGAAAAAAAATTATTTTATTTTAATAAATATAAATTGGTTTAAGTTTGTGAAGGCTATTAGAAACACTTATGGTTTACACATACGTCGTTTAAACATATAATATTTACAAAATGGATTTGCCAACGTTTCGTAAGCACTTCATCTTCTATCTTCAAGGTTTTAGGGCTTCAATTTAAGTTTACAAGTTTCAGCCTTCAAGATTGAATATGAAAGGCTCCCAGAACGTTGGCAGAGCCATTTTGTAAATGTAAATGTAATCGTATTTTAAAAAACAAGTTAAATCTTTGTTTGCTTTTAAAATTAAATAGTAAAGAAAAATTAAACGAATGTTAAACTACGTGATCTTACTACTAGTAATAATATAAACCATATTACCCAATGAAGCTTCCAGTATGATAACTACAATAAAAACAAAATAGATTTTCTGCATATTGAACGAATAGAAGTTTGTAACTCGGAATAATACCGTTTAGTTGTACGATGAAGTGCTTTATAACAATATACAAAACAAAAACAAGTAGAGAAGTTATGCCCTAGTTCTGACAAATACAACAAAAGATCAGTATTTAGTTAGGTGTATAAGTATATAAGTATTATTTGATTACGTTTTTTATCAGTTTGTAAACAAATCTTGTTCTAGCATAAGTTATGTGTATTCGAAATCGAATGAAACAAATGTTTTTGTTATATGAACTATTGTTCAAACGATAAGTATATGAATAAAAGAAAAATTAAGTGAACAACTTATGGGGCTGAGTAAATATTTTGCAGATAATAAGTTTTAGTACCTAATATTCTACGTCTTAAAAAACAAATGGGTTTCTACAGAAAAAAAACTTCAAAATTTTATCATCTTTTAATTCAAATATTTTAATCATGTTCAAACAGAATTATTAAAAATTTCTACTAATAAGAAACTATAGGTTAAACTACTACTAATTATTATTACTATTATTTATTATAACTCCTAGATAGAATTTTTTATTTTGCTTTTTTATGTGTAGTACAAGACAGAACATCTGCTATGACACTATTAAAAAACGAGTTTTTCAAAAATCGTAAACTATTTTTTAAACAGCCTATGTTTTATAAAAAAAAACCACTGAATATTTTATTTTAAAACGTATACACTAGTGATGGGAAATATTCGAATATTCGAATAATCGAATAGTTTGGATTTGAATCCTTCGAATAGTATTCTTGATGTTCTTTAGAAAATTAACTTTCTTTTTGGTTTTTTTAGCCTTCTTAAAATTGTCCTTGTAAATATTTAAAACAACTGTGTTTTATTACAACTTGTATAGTAAACTTTACAGCATCTTGTATGGGATTATAGGTACTTAGGAAACCGGAAAAGTTTTCCTGTATTTTCATTGGAAACTTAATTATGTTGTTAAGTACTGCATATTGTGGTATTCGAGAAACTTAGATAGACTGAAACGTTTAGATAATGCGTCCACAACTTTTCTTGTATAGTTTCGATGATATCAAAAAGTTCTAATAACAAATTGGTCTTAACAATACACGAAAGCAGAATTTACTGAAGTCGTTGAAACGGGGTTGTCGCTGTTGAGCTCTTTGTGTTATCCACTTACCTATTATGACATTAATAAGAAATTTCATCTTTTAAATGATACTCTCAAGACTTATATTTTAAGGACAGATCTAATGCCACACCAAAAGTACTCTGAATTTATGTTACACTCTGTTATATTAAAGTAGTTTACACTGAGCTAACTGCATTTTACCAAGAGTTAAGTAGGCCATTAAAAAAGGGGATTTTAAACACGAATTGTTTTTTTTTGTGTGTGTTCAATGTAACACACAACGGTTAGCTGTTGTAATCCGTTTTGAGGTTAGGAAAAAAGCTTAAGTTGAGGTTTACCCGAAGGTACTGTCAATTTGTCTAAGCTCTTGTAATGTTTTTCTACAATGACTGTATGTAATGAGATTTTTCTAAACGTACTTTTTTGACATGAAAGCTTTTTGTTAAATAGCAGCATTTGAGAGTAGTTGCAGTTTTTGTCACGTCCTTACTAAAGTTGAGTCGAAAAAAATCCAGCATATTACAGACCAGCACAGTCTAGCCCACCATAGTCCAAACCAAGTACAATTTAAACCACCACAGTATTTGAACCAATCACAGATAACCCTACAAAGTCTAAACCAACTTCTAATAGTTGGTAATATTGTCTTCTACCATTTAGGTGTACTGTATATATTGTTGTTATTTTCATTAATGGAATAATGTAACGCTATCCAGTTAGTACTGCTAATTACAAAGGTCTCAAAACAGTTCATTTCATCAGTTTTTTCTTTGATGTACTCGTTTCAATAGTTATATGCGATTTAGCTTTGGCTTTGCATTGGCGGTACATTATTTATACATTATTTTTACAATACTGAACAAATAATTCTACAGGAATAGAAAAAACTCATAATAGTACAGCTTGATTTTTTACAGTTTATTATGATTTTGTAATGTTAACAATTGTGTTTTAAATATTACATTTATTATTACTATATATTTATTTTGAAAAAATTGAGTATTTTTGAGACGTAGTTGTTGATTTTCTGTAAAAAATAAAAATTACATTTGAAAATAAAACTATCACAAGAGGAAACTCAACTTGAATTTTTAATCGCAACAATAGAACAACATTTAATACAAATATAGACTCTAGAAATATAAATTTAATTTGTATTTCTTAATAAAAATTAAATGATTGAAATGCTGTTACAAAATTTTTAAATACCAATGTTTATAACATTTAACAAAACACGAATTGTATTGTTTAACTTAGATAAAAAGAAAGTGTAAAATCTATAATCCGGATGAATTGCAAATATGTTTAAATACAAATTTCAATCAGTACATAATAAATGTCAAAACTCGTAGCAATGTTTTATTCAATATTACGGGATTTTGCTCGTACAAGCTCCCACAAGAGGCTTGTGCAAGTGTATTATAATTTTGTAAAAGAAAAATCAACAAGAAATAAAGTTATGAAACATAAAATATTACCGATTACGCTTAATCACCACCCGATAACCAACTTCCTCCACCTGATCCACTTCCTCCACCTGATCCACTTCCTCCATCTGATCCACTTTCTGCTTCACCTGATCCACTTTCTGCTTCACTTGATCCACTTTCTTCTTCACCTGATCCACTTCCTTTACTTGTTTCACTTCCTTCCTCGGTGGCTAAACATTTTTTTAAAAAATGAGTGATTAGTTTTTATATTATTTGATTTTACCTAATAAATTAATTTGGATTATAATATCTTTTTACGACTAAAATAGCTTTTGTTGAATAAAGTTGAGATTTTTGACATTTTCATGTCTTAGCTCTAGCACATAACCGAAAAAAGCGTTACCACACGGAGATGGGGGGGGGGGTGGGAATGGGGTTGGGGTCGGGGGTGAGAATTAGACGGTATATAACCGAAAAAAAGTGTTACCAAAAAAAGCGTTACGCTGTTATCTGATATGAGATAAGTGATAAGGGTGAGTGATAGGGGTTGGGAGATAGGGTGGCAGATAGGGGGTAGGGGATAGGGGGAAGTGATAGGAGATATGTTGTACGTTCAACGTTCAAATTAGATCTAAATAATAAATTCAAAACAGTTTAAGAGCCTAAATTCTCTATGAATTGTTTTAAGCCAGATAATAAACACTACAATTTTAGCCAGAAACTTGACGTTTTATTATACTAGCTTGTTACTACTTCTTAATATACTATATCATTATCTACAATTCCACCACTACTCTAAATTTATTCGGTACTTCAACGAGACATGAAAATGTTCTATCGTGGTTGCAGACTCGGCTGAAAAATGGTTTCTTTTTTTCAAATGTTTTGTAGTTAGGGAACAATTGTGGTTTAAAATATAAAAATATGAATTTAAAAATTAAAAAAATCTAAAATATATCTTGATTTAAAAATACATCACTTACTCTTATTGTGGTTTTCATCCTTCGATCCATTTTCTTTATCAGAAGCTAAACATTCAAAAAAATATATAAATTATTGGTTTTTAGATTTTATACGGCATTGGATTATAACCCTTTTACGACTTCATTAGCTAAACCTTATTTAAGAATAATTTAGTAATTTGTTTTTACACTATAATAATCTAAAAATAACGTTTTTATGCGCCTAAAAAAGTAGAAAATAACCCTCCAGGGGTCTTGATAACCAAATAGGACAGGTGAACTAGAAAAACGTGGGGCGCATCTTTCTACTTAGATATTAAAACCTAAGCTTTCATACTAATGCATTAAGTTGTCTCTCATAATGCTGTCTCTCTAACCGAACGGATCAGAAAGTGATAGTATGACTTTTTATCGGAAATGAAATTTAATGGATTTCCGTGCCACTTGCCTTAAATTTCATTGCAAATTAAAAAGACTTAATTGCTATTCTTTTCAAAGTTTGTTTTATGTAGTTTGCATCAATTTTTTTGTTAACTACCTACTTGCTTAACATTTAAAGTAATATGGTGCTCAATTTTACATGGCATGTCATTAAGTATTATTTTATTTAGAAGAGAAAAGATGATTGTGCATGAATTATGAGTTAAGGTAGTTATTAATGAGAAGAGAATGTTATTATATATTCAGACGTGATAGCTAATCGGGAAGTGCTCGAAATTTGAGTTGCAAGATTCCACCCGGAACGACAAACAAGATTGTGAGTTCATAAAAACGTTATAATAATAAAAATACGAAGTTGAAAATGAAAAAAAAATTAACATCAATACCTATACTGCTGTGCTTATAATAAATGTCCTGTCTGCAGTTTTCTTAGAAGGGTCAGATAGGACTTTTACTCTTTGTTTAACCTAGAAAACTGTAGATAGGACGAACCTTTCATGAGCTCTAGAGACCTTTGTAATGCACGTAGAACGTTCCAAGTTGGATAAAAAAATAATACTCCCAAAAAAACTTCACAGAGAGCAAACATTTTCAAAATCGAATTTTTGTTGGTTAGGACAATTCTTCTTCTTAGCCATAGGCGCAATTTCAATTTTTAACTTGGGGGGGCTGGAATTTTATTTTAATTACATATATAAGTAAATATATTTTAAATTTTAAAATTGTATGCATAACCTAATTTTTTGGTGGGGCTATTTCTAGCATTGGGGGGGGGGGGCTAAGCCCACCCTAGTCCCCCCTTATTTGCGCCTATATTCTTAGCACGTCAGTACCATTGCATATTAAATTTGGTCTTTTGACACTGGCCATCTAACATAAGTTATTAGTTCGAACATTCAATTCCATTAGACATTATCGCAGTGTAAGTAGAATCTATCTTAAAAGGCGTTTCAAGGGCAAATGAACACTTAGGTGCTATCCTTATCGTTTTACAAGAAGTAGTCTCTCCCACTCCCGAAAGTGTGTCAAACGATTGACTTGATTTAAAATACATCACTTACTCTTATTGTGGTTTTCATCCTTCGATTCTTCCTTCGATCCATTTTCTTCACCAGAAGCTAAACATAAAAAAAAAATTATTGGTTTTTATATTATATACCTATCGTATTTATTTTAACCTTACACGCGGATTCGAATTATAACCCTTTTACGACTTTATTATTTATCACCACAAAATATTGACACTTTCAACGCTATCATTACATAAGCCCTGTTTAAGAATAATTTGGTAATTTTTTTCAAACAATAAAAATACGAAGTTGAAAACGAATACTTGGGTGATATCCTTATCGTTTTACAAGAAGTAGTCTCTCCAACTTTCGAAGGAGTGTCGAACGATAGACTTGAGTTAAAATACATCACTTACTCTTATTATGGTTTTCATCCTTCGATTCTTCCTTCGATCCATCTTTTACTTTTTCTGATTCACTTCCTTCCTCGCCGGCTAAACCTTTTAAAAAAAAAATAAATGATTAGTTTTTATATTATTTATTTTAACCTTATAAATGAATTCGGGTTATAATATCTTTTTACGACTAAAAAAATCCTTGTTTAATAAAACTAGTCGTGACTTTTGTTCAAATGTTTGGTATGTTTGGGAAACAATAGATTTGAATTATAAAAATATTAAATTAAAAATCAACATTATATCATTAATAGAATGATGACGCTCCTTAAGATATCTAATACGTTTCTGTCGCTGAACCACAAAAGAATTTCAGCTGTTATTTGTTAGCAGTGTGAAACATGCTAGTTTTTGTAGGTGTTTTCGATATGATAATATTAAATACTTTTTCAATAATTAAAGTGCTATACTAAAAAATTATTAATAAATTAATACTCAAACCTGATATCCCGAAAAATTTAGCAAATCCCGTTACCAGCGGATTATTATAGAAACCACTCTCTGCACAAACAAATAAAGTAGTTTTTATTTTGTTTAATATCATTTTATAATACATTTTAAAATGTCAAATCAAATTTCTATATAGCTATTTTGTAATAATTGTTATAAATAACTTTAAGTAAGTATTTGTTTGATATGTTTCATTTTATAGATTATTTTTTTTATTTTATTTTGACAATATTAAAATTATTAACATAATTACAAAACGATACATGTTATTTCTAGGGGCCACGAGTCAGCGGTTGTTAGCTCTATCCATTTATATAAAAAAAAAAAACTTAGAAAGTCATGTTTTGATTATCGGACCATGGCTGGCTATCGAACAGATTATCAATCGGTTTAATTTGTGTTAACTATAGAGAAAAACTACAATTAATTTTACTATAATGTCAAGACATACTAATATTATGGTTTTGATAAGTACATTTAGATAATTATTATTAATTGATGAATTGTACGTATTACTAGACATAGCACATACCTAGTATAAAAATATTATATGTTTTTATAAACGAGTTATATACCTGCTGCTTTTTCAGGAGGATCTAATAAAATATAATAGACAATCATATATTTAAATTATTACAATACGCAATATTGCTAATCTTTAATACATTTTTATTCGCTCTTTTCATACTCAAATTAATTAAGTATTTCATGTGTACTTGTAAATATCTTACTTTTCTTTTTTTCGTCTCCGGATTTACCTAAATAAAAAAATAGAAATACATTTAGTTCAATAGGTTTAACTATGTTACAAACAAAGCATACAAAAATCTATTTAGAGTAGAACTCGAAATAAAAGAGAGGTGTGAAATTATTCTATCAAAATATATGTTTTACACATACAGTTTAATTTGAAGACATATTATCATTCTTTATCAAATGATAATTAACATTTTTTATAATCAAATTTATGTAATTATTTTATGGAAATTTTGTAGATAACTCACTTGTCTTTTTTTCGCCTTTATGTTGCTCTACCAAAAAAAGTAGAAATATATTTAGTCAAGCCATACTAAACATTATGATTTTGATTATTACATTAGCTAATTATTATTTATTGATGAATTGCACATATTACTAGACTAGCAAATAACTAGAAACTATAAAAAAATATCTATATTTATTTTTAAACGAGTTACATACTTATTATTTTTCCAGCAGCATCTAATAAAACATAATAAACAATAATATATAAGACACATCATGAAATATTATATATTATATTACTTACTAACTATTAAAATGTTTATTAGAACGATTTAACTTATTATTTAGCTAATAATTATTTCTTGATGAATTGCACATCAAAAATTACTACACATATCATATTACTAGGTACTATAAAACAATTATAAATATTTTTTTCTAAACGAGTTACATACCTAATACTTTTTCAACATTATCTAATAAAACATAATAAACAATAATATGATATACTTAAATTATTACACTATGCAATATATTACTTATATTTAGTAAATGTTGATAAACATTTTTTATATTCAAATTAATTTAATTATTTTGTGTGTATTTGTTGATATCTTACTTGTCTCTTCTTTGCCTCTATTTACACCTAACCAAAAAAATCAAAGTATATTTAGTTTAATAGGTTCAAATAAGTTACAAGCAATGAATACAAAAATCTATTTAGTGTAGAAGTTGGAGGAAAATAGGGGCGTGAAATTAGTCTATCAACTTTTAACATTTATTCATAATACTTAATCTAAAGACATATCGTTCTATTAAGTCATACATTTAGTAATTTATTCACAATTATTAAGTAACTTTAATAGAACTAAAAAGTAAAAATATAAAAAAAAAAAGCTTTTATAAAAATATGCTTTCCTAAAATTTAGTAAAACAGTGAATTAAAAAGTAAAAAATAGTTTTACTACAAGAACAATTTGCCAATCAATTGTTGTTTTAAAATGTCAATTACTTTGACACAACCGAACATTAACTAAAATTTTAAATAATGTTAAACATCTTTAATTTTTGACTAAAACGAAAAGCGTGGGCCCTATTCAACAAACTCTAAATTCATTGAATTAAGTATTATGAAATATATGTGTCACACAATAAAATTTAACCGAATTAAAATAACAAAAAACTTACAATATAAAACATTATCTGAAATTTTATCTGAAAAATGTATTAGGGAATTGGTTGAATGCCCTATTCAACAAATTACGCTTTTCTTTTAAGACAAAAAAAAAGATGTTTAATATTATTCAAAATTGTAGTTAATTTTCAGCTGTGTCAAAGAAATTTACATTTAAAACAAAATGTGCTACAATTAATTGGTAAATTGGTCTTGTAGTAAAATTATGTTTTACTTTTTAGTTCACTTTTTTTACTATTTTTTAGAAAAGCATGTTTTTATTTATATTCAAATTAATTTAAGTATTTTGTATGTATTTGTTGATATCTTACTTGTCTCTTCTTCGCCTCTATTTACACCTAACCAAAAAAGTCAAAATATATTTAGTTTAATAGGTTAAAATAAGTTAAAAACAACGAATAAAAAAAGCTATTTAGTGTAAGAGTTGGAAGAAAATAGGGGCATGAAATTAGTCCATCAACTTTTAATATTTATTTATAAAACTTAATCTTAATATATATCGTTCTATTAAATCATACATTATAAGAACTACTAATAAAAAAATACAATGTCTATTTCATTTACTACACTTTACTACAAAATATTTTAGATCCTAGTTAAAACAATTGAAATTTAGTTGTTTACTTATATAGTACTTATAAGAAAAACCAAAAAAGTAATTTTCTGATTGCAGGACCGCGGCTAGATATAGGGAATATGTATAATATATTGTATATATATATATATATATATATATTTAAACGAATTACATACCTAGTACATTTACAGCATCTATTAAAACATAATAATTAATAATATAAAATATACATATACACATAAACTTTAATATTATTCTTTTATACCTACAGGGGATCATTTTATCGTGAACCACTTAATATCATATGTATATTAGGGTGGTTCAAAAAAACCTTAATTTATTATTTTTTGTTCTTCTCTCGAGAATATGTTATTCGTATATAAAGTTAATTGTTGTAATTTTTTTTAGATTTTTAAAACCATTTTTAGATGTGATTAGGGTTAATTTTATATTATATTTTATTGGATAAAAATTATCTTTCCATCCGAATAATATATTTTCGAGAGAAGAACAAAAAATAATAAATTAGGGTTTTTTAACCACCTTAATATATACATAGTTATATATTATATTAAAAAAATAATATAAAGAGGCGTGAAATTAATACCATCAATTGTATTTTGTACATTTATAGTTTAATCTGAAGACCTATCATTTTACCAAGGTGTAGGTATATTTTAAAATTTAATAATTAATTTACTAAATTTTACCAACAATTATTTTGTATCCCTCATTAGAACCATTTAAATGTATTTCATTACTATATTACTTATTAAAAGCCTAAAATGCCTAGAATATATGTGAACGTATAGCAAAAAAAAACTAGAAATTTCAAGGAAGCTTGAAAGATATTATGGAGTTGACCCAAAAGTCTGAAGTGGGTAGTTAGTTTAAGTATAAGTTTATAGATTTGAAATTTAATACCTTAATATTTAAATTTTTCTAAATTGAAAGATTTATTGACTTTATTATTATTGAATTTATGTACCTGTATGTAATATACATTTGTATCTTATTATTATAGTTTACAATTTTGACACGACATATATGTATAATTCATAATAGTGACTTACCTGGTGTCGGCAGGCCACGAGTGACTGTATATAAAATATATTAATCATCAATATAATTTTTACATGTAAATTTATATTAATTAGTCATTTTGTATGTTAATAATGCCATGTATGGTTCAGTGTTAATATTGAAAAAAAATTATTATAATTTAATAAATATAAATTGGTTTAAGTTTGTGAAGGCTATTTGAAACACTTATGGTTTACACATACGTCGTTTAAACATATAATATTTTCAAAATGGATTTGCCAACGTTTCCTAAGCACTTCATCTTCTATCTTCAAGGTTTCAGGGCTTCAATTTAAGTTTACAAGTTTCAGCCTTCAAGATTGAATATGAAAGGCTCCCAGAACGTTGGCAGAGCCATTTTGTAAATGTAAATGTAATCGTATTTAAAAAAACAAGTTAAATCTTTGTTTGCTTTTAAAATTAAATAGTAAAGAAAAATTAAACGAATGTTAAACTACGTGATCTTGCTACTAGTAATAATATAAACCATATTACCCAATGAAGCTTCCAGTATGATAACTACAATAAAAACAAAATAGATTTTCTGCATATTGAACGAATACAAGTTTGTAACTCGGAATAATACCGTTTAGTTGTACGATGAAGTGTTTTATAACAATATACAGAACAAAAACAAGTAGAGAAGTTATGCCCTAGTTCTGACAAATACATCAAAGGACAGTATTTAGTTAGGTGTATAAGTATATAAGTATTAATTGATTACGTTTTTTATCAGTTTGTAAACAAATATTGATCTAGCATAAGATATGTGTATTTAAAATTGAATGAAACAAATGTTTTTGTTATATGAACTATTGTTTAAACGATAAGTATATGAATAAAAAAAAAATAAATTGGACAACTTATGGGGCTGAGTAAATATTTTACAGACAATAAGTTACAGTACCTAATATTCTACGTCTTAAAAAACAAATAGGTATATACAGAAAAAAAACTTCAAATTTTTATCATCTTTTAATACAAATATTTTAATCATGTTCGAACAGAATTATTAAACATTTTTACTAATAAGACTAATAATAAGAAAACTATATGTTAAACTACTACTAATTATTATAACTATTATTTATTATAACTCCTAGATAGAATTTTTTATTTTGCTTTTTTATGTGTAGTACAAGACAGAACATCTGCTATGACTCTATTAAAAAACGAGTTTTTCAAAAATCGTAAACTATTTTTTAAACAGCCTATGTTTTATAAAAAAAAACCACTGAATATTTTATTTTAAAACGTATACACTAGTGATGGGAAATATTCGAATATTCGAATAATCGAATAGTTTGGATTTGAATCCTTCGAATAGTATTCTTGATGTTCTTTAGAAAATTAACTTTCTTTTTGGTTTTTTTAGCTTCTTAAAATTGTCCTTGTAAATATTTAAAACAACCGTGTTTTAAAACAAATTGTATAGTAAACTTTACAGCATCTTGTATGGGATTATAGGTACTTAGCAAACCGGAAAAGTTTTCCTGTATTTTCATTGGAAACTTAATTATGTTGTTAAGTACTGCATATTGTGGTATTCGAGAAACTTAGATAGACTGAAACGTTTAGATAATGCGTCCACAACTTTTCTTGTATAGTTTCGATGATATCAAAAAGTTCTAATAACAAATTGGTCTTAACAATACACGAAAGCAGAATTTACTGAAGTCGTTGAAACGGGGTTGTCGCTGTTGAGCTCTTTGTGTTATCCACTTACCTATTATGACATTAATAAGAAATTTCATCTTTTAAATGATACTCTCAAGACTTATATTTTAAGGACAGATCTAATGCCACACCAAAAGTACTCTGAATTTATGTTACACTCTGTTATATTAAAGTAGTTTACACTGAGCTAACTGCATTTTACCAAGAGTTAAGTAGGCCATTAAAAAAGGGGATTTTAAACACGAATTGTTTTTTTTGTGTGTGTTCAATGTAACACACAACGGTTGGCTGTTGTAATCCGTTTTGAGGTTAGGAAAAAAGCTTAAGTTGAGGTTTAGCCGAAGGTACTGTCAATTTGTCTAAGCTCTTGTAATGTTTTTCTACAATGACTGTATGTAATGAGATTTTTCTAAACGTACTGTTTTGACGTGAAAGCTTTTTGTTAAATAGCAGCATTTGAGAGTAGTTGCAGTTTTTGTCACGTCCTTACTAAAGTTGAGTCGAAAAAAATCCAGCATATTACAGACCAGCACAGTCTAGCCTACCATAGTCCAAACCAAGTACAATAAAAACCACCACAGTATTTGAACCAATCACAGATAACCCTACAAAGTCTAAACCAACTTCTAGGAAAGAAGTGGGATGATTTCGTTGGTCTTCATTTTTAAGAGTGAAGAAGTAAACTTTTTCAAATTTTACACCTCTATCCCCAAAGCGCAAACTAGACACGATTAATACTGACTGATAGGCTTGTTGATCAAGTAGGTATATCAATCAAGGGGCTTTAAAGTTAGATACAAACAAAAAAAAACATCAGCTTGTATTGAACTTAAAATTACTATCTAGAGAACAGAAGAAAAAATATTCGAATAACATTTATTCGTTATTCCAACTTTTTATCCAGATAGAGAAATATCAATAAACAATATAAATGTAACACCAATTTCGTGTTGCAAATATTAAGCTTGAAATTATTGAAATTTTGTTGGGTAGAGAAATAATATCATTTTTAACAATGATGCATTATTTTGTTTTTTACTTTGCTTATCACTTTATCAGAAATCATTATATTATAAAATAATATGTATTTGTTGGGTAAAGTTTATGCTTTCAAACAATTTTTAATATACAAGAAAAAAATGTAGGTATATTTGTTTGGAATGGTTTGTCTTGTATCTTATATCGTAGCGAATCGAAAACCACACAACAGTAGGTATACAATTTTGTTTTTTGGCTGTACGAAAAAATTAAACGTAGAATAACACCTAAGTAAATAATTATTGCCTTAACATGCGTCCCGACATAAAATTTAAGTTTCATAAAACTTGTATTTGTACTCTATGAACAAAACAATCAATTGTATTTCAACCGTAGTATTGTTTACATACTAATATTTTCTAAAAAATGTACAAAACACTTATGCATACCTATACAGGGTGTCCCACACAAATCTGACAATTAAACAACTATAGCATCGAAGCTAATATATAGAGCTATCTAACCTAAACGAATGGAGCTGCCCAGAGCTCTGATAAACATAGTGGTCAAATGTGATACCGAGAATCAATAAATAATTGATAGTCTTTTATGAAATAACCGTGGTGTTGGTAATATTGTCTTCTACCATTTAGGTATACTGTATATATTGTTGTTATTTTTATTAGTAGAATAATGTAACGCTATCCAGTTAGTACTGCTAATTACAAAGGTCTCAAAACAGTTAATTTCATCAGTTTTTTCTTTGATGTACTCGTTTCAATAATTATATGCGATTTAGCTTTGGCTTTGCACTGGCGGTACATTATTTATGATGATGGTTATACCGGGTGATTGGTTAACTATGGACCACTCAATATCTTAGAAGATATTAGACATTTTTAATTATTTTTTTTTTGTACTATTACAGTTATTAGGTAGGACAAATTTAATGTATTTTTCAAAATTTTAACACCATCCCTTATGCGTTAAAACCATATCAACTTTAGATTTTTAAATGGTAACCCCCAATTTTTTTTTGATGATCGTGTTTATTTTTTTTAAATTTAATTTTAGGTGTAAAAACTAGCTAAATCAGACAAGTACTTTTAAAGTTATAGCTTAGTACTACACTATTATAATATTAGCTTATATGAGATGCTTTTATAAGTTTTACAGCTAAAGAAAAAAATCGTATATCGCCGGATCTCACGTTTCACAAAATAAGATTGATTAACGATACGGTTGTAGATTAAAGTTAATAGTTGACGGTCGTCGGTCACAATGAAAACGAACTAATAATAAATCTATAATAATATTATATGGGTAATGTCTTCTTATCTGTTTTTTCTGTAGTGTTCCTAGCGGTGCGGTGTACCTGTACGTATTGAATATTAGGCATTAGCTGCTGTTAACAAACAATATTATAAGCCCTAGTAAATAGTTTTTTTTTTCAATTTCAACCATAGGTTACCGTGGTCTAATCACGGTCTTATATAAAGTGTATACCGTGGTTCTACCAAAACAATTCGTTACTAGCGTAGATTAATATCAACACAGAACAAATTATTATAAAAATACGACTACTTGAAAACTAATCAAAAAGTTCATTATTCTAATTTTTCAATTATTATGGTTATTTAGCGTCTTGGTTTTTACTTTAAATATTTAGCGTCTTGGTCTTAATAAGTATTACTTGTACTGGTGTCTTAACTAGTCAAATTATTAATTCTGTTAGTGAAAATATTTTTAAAAAAACTAATAAATAACATTTAATTTTTTGTTTTTTTAGTATAATATTGTATTACATACAGTTAATGGATAATATGTACAGAATATATACAGAAATAAACAAAAACTAAACTTAATATGTACAGAAACTATTTTAGCATTTTTGTTCGAACTGGTTTATGATAGGTACATAAGATGTCAAACAACATCTTTATAAGGCATCTATTGTGTTTATTAAAATGTTTAGATAACAAAGGATTCCATAAGAAATACGTTCATCCAATACTTGTGCACTAAAATAAATTTTCATTTTTATAATTTAAAGTTGTAACGCGTCAATTTTAACTATTTCTAGTTCAGTATTTTTAACTATTAAAAGCTGTACTTATTTATTAACTCTTTATTATATTACCACCTTAAGCCTTTACTGTATATATTTCATAGTATTGACTATTCTTACTTATTTTAATGTGTTCATATGAACAGTAAAAGTATATTTCTTATTTAATAAATGGTTGTTTTTTTTGTTGTACGAAGTATAAACAAAAATTTAGAGTGACAATGAAAAAGTACAATTTTTTTTGTTTTTGTATGGCTTTTTTAACAGTCATAAGCTTAAAATTCAATAATAATATTACAAACAAACATTTAAATACTATATTATGTTATGTTTATTATGATAATAGTAAAATAAAAAAACAAGTAACAAGATAAATAATACGCTTATAAGATACGAATAAACATTTTTATTTGCTAAATCATATTGGAAAACTAAGACTAAATAAAATTAACATATCTATAATTAACTTGTAAATAATAGAGGTACAACATATTGCTGTATATAGTGATGTAGTTATAGGAAGTTACCTAGGGCGGTAAAGTTTGTTTGATGATTTCCCACTAGAAGAAATCCATCTCCATTTACATATTTAAGTTAAAAAATATTTATAAGTATATTCATTCAGTTTACTTTTTTACACTTAATCCAATAGTTAACATTTTTTTTTTCTATTTTGTGTTTTATAATTTTATTTACTTTATTACTTATAAAAACTTAATCGTAAACCACTAGAAAATTGTCAATAAATTCTGTAATAGCTAATGTAAAAACTATGCCATCATGAAAATAATTTCAAGATTTGGATTAAGACAATAACATATTTTAGAAATATTAACATTCTCAGCAGCATTTTAGATTAAATTAATATTAAATAAAGAATTCAACATTAATAATTAATAAATAATGTATAATAATTATAGATATGTTAAGTATATGTGTGTTTAAATACTTTATGTCACTTTTAAAATGATAAAGTACTTTTAAATTATTTTATTGAATTACATTTTTAGCTGAATAAATAAATATATAGTTGTCTAATATTTGATTTGAACTTGTGAATTCATCTTATTCTTCTTACTGACTTAATGGAAAACCGTTATCTGCAATAGTGTGCCACAGTAACTAAAAAAAAAAATAATAATAATAATAAATTGTTAGTGATGAATTCATAGAAATTAACTAAATTATTGCAAGCTGATGATCTTATATATTTTACCTTAAAATAAAACACCTATAAATTTACTAAAAATTGAATACCACAACATTCGACAATGTATTGATGGAATTAGTTTAGACTGATTGACTACAATAATATAATACACCAAATTTGACGTTGGTAGTAGTGTAGTTGTAGACAATAACAAATATCAATTTAAGTTGAGATAGTCTATATTAATATTGAACATACTGAAACATATAATTAAAATAAATTAAATAAGTTTCTTATATACTTAAATAATCATATGGTTAAGCAACAAATATCAGTATACACATATATTTTTTATAATTATACAAGTATGATAATTTTTAAGTCAAACGTTAATTTTTAAGTAACGCATTATAATTAAACATATTAAGTATGATAAACATAAGTAATCCAAAAAATGTATTATGTAAAAACATTTTATATGTTCATGAATAATAAAAAAAGATTAATTATATTTTTCTAATAAAAAAATGTACTTATACAATACACCTATATCAATAAATACTTATCTTACCTATTATTGATTCAGTAAACGATGATTGAAGATTCAATTTTTTCATAAAAAATTTTATATTTTTCTTTGAATTCAGATACCAATATGTTAAAACACAAAACTACACATTTATAAGTTTCTCAGAACAAAGACATAATACTGTAAAAATAAAAGTTTTAATTAAAATATCATCAAGCATAATTCAAATTATAATAATATTTATTTTAAATAACATATTATTATTATAAGTACCTTTAATTTTGATATTTGATGTGCATACATTTTATAAGTAAGGTTTTAGGTTTTATAGACTTGTCACTTGAGCAAAACTCCATCTTGGTATTCACATTGATTATGGATATTTAATATCAATGTTATTATTTAAAACACAATAAATATTGACAAGTTCATAGATCTAGACTCTAGTAAGTTATGATACTATATTATTATAATATACTATGAAATTAAGACGTACAAATCGCATGAATAAACAAAATGTGTCAAATTAACCAAAACAAATAATTGTTAAATGCTGGAAAAATATACACAAGATATTGATAACAAATAAAACATACCTACTATTTTACAAAATAAATGTAAAAGTGTGTAGTGGTGGTATATTTTTCGGTCGATATAGCGGTTATCATTATTATTTACTATAGTTGAATTATTTACCTAAAGTAAATAGTGTTTGGTACGGTTATGATTTTTAAACGCTACTATAGCTATTGGCAAAGTTAATTGTCAATAAATAATAACAGAGAGCAGTCAAGTGTCACCTCAATATGTTAGCGTCTCCAAGATATTTAATTTATTTTTTACACTCCCTTTAATTTTAAAACTGTGTAGCTCGTTAACTACTCAATCGATTTAGCTAGTTTTTACGCCTAAAATTAAATTTAAAAAAAATAAACACGATCATCAAAAAAAAATTGGGGGTTACCATTTAAAAATCTAAAGTTGATATGGTTTTAACGCATAAGGGATGGTGTTAAAATTTTAAAAAATACATTACATTTGTCCCACCTAATAACTGTAATAGTACAAAAAAAAAATAATTAAAAAAGTCTAATATCTTCTAAGATATTGAGTGGTCCATAGTTAACCAATCACCCGGTATATATATATATATATATATATATATATATATATATATATGTGTGTGTGTGTGTGTGTGTGTATTTATAAGCAAAGTAAGAATACAGAGTAAGCTGTCACAGAGAGAAGAGCTCAGTCAAACCATGAATAAGAAAGATAGGTAGAAGGAGTGCAAGTAAAACTTGAGTGGTTCAAGATTGAAAGACAGCAGAAAACTGTCAGCTCGACGATTTTAATATTTAAAGGTGATTTTCGAGTATTAATTATTAACATTGAATAATGAATACAATATGTCGTTTTCTCTTCCATGCGAAGACAAAGGGGTAACTCTGTCTCGTAGCTTTAGTCAATAGCGATCAAAGTGGTTTTTGCAATGTCTTTGGATAGGTAATATAAATGGACGGTGAAAATAATGTTTGTATAATAATAATTGTTACCTATATATTATTTTAAATTTGATCGAGGACTTGATATCTTTAACTTAATTTAATAAAACAATTTTAATTAAATTAACTTTAATTTAAAAAAAAAAAATCAAAATACCTATTACAAGAATGTTCACGAATTTACATATTGGATATGCGCGCCACATTTGTTATACAACACAATTCATCCAAGCTTCTAATAATAAAACTAATGTTAATAGTCAATATTACATCAACGTAATATAATCAAATATAGTGTCAATGTTTCTTCACTACTTACTCCATTACTTGTACTTATTTGAAAAAGTATTCATAACTAATCGAGAATCATTCCGGGGACTCAGACCTAGTGCCAAGACCACGGACTTCCTCGAAATCATACTTAAAGATTTGTCAGATGAGATGAGTATTACTTGACAGACGAAAGTACCGAAGACCGCGGATCAATCTGTCAAAGAGTGGTGTACTTTTCTAAAATAAAAGCAATACGTTTTTAAAAGTACAAATCATTGTATAGGCAAAAATTCGTTAAAAACTGAATTTTTAGTTTGTTTTTTAGTGCATACGATTAGGGCTGCTCGTCTGCCTTTCCTTATTATTCGTTCATTCGACAACTTAATGAAACTATATTTTGGATACTAGTAGACTGTTAACTCGTTAACACATAGTAACATAGAAATTTACTACGGTAAAAATGTAACTATTCCTTTTTTCGCTTTTTCCATAATGAAACTAATGTTCGACTACATTTGTTATTGAGAAAATGAAATATGTTATAGCCGCATTATAGAACTATCTTCAATCTATTTTTAAATAAAATGTTTTTAAGCCATTCGGTATGAATTTAGTTTAGATCTCCGTACGCCCTTGAGGTGCTACTTTAAGAAGAACGCCAAGGTTGCAATAAGAGATACAAAAATCATCCCTCCCTAAACATCTAACTAAAGAAGGACATAATTACAATGCTATTGTGTAATAAAAACCAAAAATGATCTACATAGGTCGTTTTTCATAATTTTAAAAAATCGACAATAAGTCAGGTAGGCTATGAAATTCTAAATTGCCTGTTTTTGTCAACGATAGGTGCACATTATTACAACGTTAGCTCAGTATGTGTATCTAAATAATATTTACAGTTGTTATAGTTTTGAACGTGTAAAAAAATATTTTTTAAGGCGATTACTATATTTTCATTTATGTAAATAATGGAAACACCCATCTAATCACACAAGTTTTTTTCTAAAGTAAAAAAATTGTGTTTTCGGGTTAACGCCTAGGCAAAAATTCGCTAACGATACTTAAATAAAAAATCAGATTTATTTTTGTTTACTTTTGAACTCTGTGTAACTTTTGAAACACATGCGCCGATGTGCAAAATTATACAATAACTCCATTTTTTTACAATCAAAATAATTTACACGCGTATACAATATGGTCTTATCATAAATGAATTATCCTGTATGTCCTGACCAGTGGACTTATTGGTTCGTATTGACCAAAAATGAGCCGTAATCCGTTGAAAACTGGTCAGCTACTTTTAATGTTATAATTTAACATAATGCAGGGCTATTTTAAAATAATTATATAAAAACAAAGCATATATTTTGCATTCAAAAAAAAAAAAACAATCAATTGGAATAAACATTATTTATCAATACATTTATCAATAAAACCACTTTATTCATGCGAAAAACAAATACTGTCAATACGATAAAATATATTATTACTTTAATATAAATTGTAATAATTGATAAACAAAAACAATTTTTTTTTCGTTAAAAATCTTATAATAATGTTTTTATCAGAAAATTTTTGATTACAATATACTTACAACTGTTGCATTACTATGTTGATAAAACATTTATGGGGTCCATATAAATACATATATATATATATATATATATATATATATAATTAATCTACATTTTTATTGAATATATATTTCGTTGAGTGTGGTTAATAAAATATTTTACAATCTAACCGCAGTTGCCTGTTATGGACGTTAAAGGTCTTTTGCTTTAGAAATAAACTTCTCGTAGTAAGTAACGAGTAGTCCATTGTTATTTTGTGCAAATATTTTCACTATTATACATTTTATGTACAACGATCTTTGTTATTCGGGCATTTTTCATCCCGCAGTATTCCTGATTTACCTTTATACCCGGTATTTAATATTTTAGGAATTTTACTTAGCAAATACTTGTTTTATTTTTTTTAGTTGCATTCTTCATAAAATAATACAATTAGCGTTGAATTTAAAGTTATTGGATTTTCCTCTGAAATCAAAAACTGCTGGTTTGCAATCGTATACGCGTGTAATATCGTGTACTGGCCTTCGACGAGTTTTGGATTTTTTTTTATATATTAAAAAAAAATACGGTGAATGTTATGGATTAAAAAAAAAATATGTTTGAACAAACCGCCGCACGTTACTATGTTATGCAAAATTTGTACCTATCATAAAAGAGTTTTCCGGTCATTTGTTACACTATTATTTACACAACATTAAACAGGCGTGTGCGTAATATTGTGTAGTAGATCAACATGTTTCTACTTTCTTGTTTAGGTGTAACAATTATCGTGTTAACCGTTTTTCGGAACAAGTTTTTGTCAATTTGAATAATAAAAATCACTCACGTTATGCGGCTTTTGTTCAGGAAGTAAGCACAATAGTAATTATCGTTATCATATTATATGAAGCGGATTCGACACCCGAGACGAGGCAATTGAACGATCAGATTTTTTTTTTAAAACTGTTTTGGCGAGATCAAGATATTTTGGACACAAAATACCGATATATGTACATTGAATAACACATATTAAATTAACTATAGGCCGCATTCAAAGCGTTTGCTACTACGAAATGAACAGCTTCGGCCACAAATATACGTCTCTTTTTCTTCTTTAAATTCGTTCGACGTATTAACCGTGCAAAAGTTGCTTTTCTTAGCGTCATTTTCAGACAATGATAAACGAGAGTAACACTGCTAAGAAAACATTTATACAGAATAATATATTATATACATCACACGGAGATAAGAAGTTTTTTTTCCCCAGTTACTGAGCTGTTATTCTGACACGTCTTTGTTATAGTCGAAATCGTATGCAATATAATATGATACATTATATACATATACCATGGACTAATATGTAAGCATAACATAATAATAAGTACTTATGAACTTATGCATTTTTATTTTTTAAATCAGCAAATTATTTTGCCAATGTATAATATTAACAATAATTGTAACGTAACTCGAGGGAATTTTTTTTTAAAAATGTCAACTATTTTTTTAGACAAAAAACAAGAATTCGGCCATTAAAATGTTACACGGAAAATACATTACTGAAATACGAGTTTCTCGAATAATATTTTACTGAGTTTGCTTCAACACAATGCTGAGACCCGATATACTTTCTTTATTATTATAATGGCATTGTGTTTTGTTGAAAGGATATGCCATCTCAATCACCGTGTGATCCATAAAAGAAGTAACCAGCTTTTAGCTTTTTAACTATTATATCCGTGTTTAAATTGTACTGTACAATAAAGGATATTGCATTGCAATTATTATCAAACAGAATAACTTCTAATACTTAAATTATGTAAATCTTTTAGATTGACGGGTGATACACCCTGTACATTGCAATAATAATAGTATACGCGATAATACCATGTACCATATGCCATTTTATAATAATCAGCTCGACTTACAATGTACAGGCGAAATAGGCCGCATATTATTATATTATTTTTATATTTGTCGTTTAAGGGGTTCCATTGCGTATGATGACAGTCGTCACCTTGACTTTATTTTTGTAAAGTGCTTTTTTCAAGTTTACCGTATCACTCGACAAAGTTAATAGTCATTAATATATATAAATACAAAGTAAATAGAGAGAGAAAGTATATTTTATTTGTCTGAAATATCAAAATTGATTTGTTCAAAAAGTTTCTATGCTAAAAATAACCTAAAATGACCCTGTTAAAATATAGTCACATTAATCATAAGAGTATGTGATTTGACGTTAGGCAAACAGAACGTGACCAAAGTTTGGCTAAAACTTTATAGGTACCTATTTCGTGTATATATTACTGTAGGCAGCTAAATCATAATAATGCGTTAAACTAAAATGAACTTTTTTGGTATTTTTTAATAAGAAAAATATATATTTCAATTTGTGTTCAAATAATTTTCTATATAATTATAACCGTTAATAATACTGTTGACAATTACTATACTGGACTAAGATACTAGAAACAAATATAATATGGTTGTTGGATGAAAATAAGTATTAAGTGATAAATTGTACAGAAATTGAAACGTATGAGATTTGTGCACAAAACAATTATTTCCTTTGAAATTTTTTCGTTTAGTATTTTTTAAATTTGTTTTTATTAAGAACTATACATGGGCACATTAGTATTTAGTTTATCATATATGTATACCCGGGAGTGTTCATTATTATTTATTAAACACTCTGTTATAAATTCAATTGAAAGCCCTTTTCTTTCGCATAATATAATTTACATATTATTGTACACGTAGTACATTAGCCAACGCTACTTACAAAGACTTGCCTTAAAATTCGGTTTTTTCTTGTTTGTACAGGAAGCGTTTCCGAATAGAAACCCGTAAAATGGGAGTCGGCCATTCAAACAAACAAGATCGATCGTGTCCGCTGGACGGTGAAGGTAAGACATTTTTTTTTATTTACTCAAGACTGCGTAAAATGTGTGTTCAAATGTGTTTTAATGTGCCTTAATTTTAACTCGGTAAAAGTGCCTTAAGTGCGTCGTTTAAAATTCAATAAATTCTATTATAGATAATTGCATGTAGATTAAATTATTGTACAAATATTATCTCCAAATGTAGGTAGGTATATTTTTATTCCTTTAAAAATGTACGGTGTTTGTTTTTACAGTATCCGATATGCATAGTTTCTGTTTTTGAGTAAACCGGTACAATGAAAGGAAAATATTATTGAGAAAAACTACCCAATTGAATTTGTATACACTTAAAGCTTTGCCGTTAAAGCGTAATCCATGTCTTAAAATCAACACAGCATTATAATCCGTAATTCTACAAACTGGTATTTTTTGTGTTTATTTTTTTGTTTACAAGTAGGTTACACGTGCTACTAAGAACTACGGTTCATTATGTCGGTGCCTTTTTAATGGCATTTCGTTTAATATCCTGTAGCGTTAAAGGTTCGAATTTTAAATGAAGTGTTTATCTTTTATTTATTAAACGGTTTTTTACTTTGCTATTATATTTTACCAAAAAAAAACTCATTAAGAATATAAACAGCTGTTAATTTCAGGCTAGACCATTATCCATTAGCGTTATAATTACACGGATTTCTAAGATAATAAAAAAAAAAGAAGAAGAATAAACCCTTAAATAATTATTTCGATTACATAACAAGTGTTGCTTACAACATGTTTAGACACAGCAACTTAAAAATGTATAATGTAATGTAATGAACTTGGTCGCGTCACAGAATTTTTTCCATACGAGGCAAATAGCATGACAAATAACATGACAAAATGCTCCATCAGTGTACAACTCATCACACTTCGTTAACTATGAAAGGTCGGCAATATCCTCATTGACACCAAATCATTTTGTTGAACTCTGTTGGGAATGTGCTTTTAATCCATTTCGTCCAATGGCGTGAAAACTAGGTCAAAAACATTGAACATTTATGTCCTATTGATAGAGTAAACTTTTTTGATACACGAAACAAACAAAATATTTCTCAGCTGGACGATAAAGACATGGATTGAAAATAAAACTAACAACGGCCCGCATGCGCGAAATAATTAATAATAATAATAATTTTATCCACTAATGGCAATCTAATGGCGATAAAAAAAAATATTTAAGAGAAAAAAAAACAAAAATATCATATAAAAACTACGTTCGTCAAAAAGCGAGTAAAATATTCTTGTCGAGAAAACAATTTAAAGTTAGAAAATATAAATTAAAAGTTAGAAAATGTATCCATGTTAGGTTAGGTATACAAATTACCTATATGGCTACATTATTATGTGTGTACTTGTTCGACCCAAACGTTTCGCTTATTTCAAGAGACCATTAGCAAAATAAAGCGTAGGTTGGAATAAGCTATTGTTTCACAAAAATGATATTTTGCAATTTATCATTTTTTAAGGTACACAAACTTCAGTGTTGTTATTTTTTATCCATCTGACCTCCTACGCAGAACATTATTCATTTAAAAAGATTTATTTGTTCGTAGTTTTAAGCACAATACTAAACAGGCTAAAATTATCAATATAAACGAGTAAAAAACAAATTATGTTTTACACAAAGTGTGCGTTATAAAATAACAGGGTTTGACTTAATTTGTATTTCTTTTTCTCGTAAATATGTACAAAATGATTACAACTTAAGTAGTAATTTTTGTTTATAAAAAAAATTGTAAACTAATTCTACTCGAGTACCTTACTGTGATTGATAGCTGTTTTAGTAAAATATTATGAAATATTTTTAGATGCAATGTTGAGAAAAACTATAGAAACGAAAAAGTTACCGTACCACGCTATTCTCTACGGTCATATATTGCGGTTAACGGGAAAATAATGATTTGATCTATGACAAAATTAATGACCGACACGTTTAGAGAGCAAACGTTTTAACGTTTCGGCGTGGCCCGTTTTTTTATATTATTATTTACCGTCATGATAATCTATTATGTTTGCGCGTTTTGTTTTTTGATGCCTACGACTGCTTCCGAGCTATTGTGCCAACCCCTAAGTAAAAACCAAAATCTTAATATCTCGGCGAACGTTAAATATTTAAATTTCGGTATTATTAAAATTATGCAAACCTCTGGCTCTTCGTTTCGAATTTGATACATTTAATTCCAACCGAGCAATATTATAATTCAATAAGTTCTCCGTTTGTTCGTTTGGGGGAAAAATAAATTGTTCCTTTTAATAAATACAAACCATTCCAATTCACAAATGATAAATGAAATTATAAGATAAAAGTATAAACTAGGGTAGTGATTTAAATAATCGGAATAATCGTCAGTCGAATAGTTCATAATATATTCGGATTCAAATACTATTAACGCTATTCGAATCTCGATTATTATTTTATTGCTCATTATTAAAATTATAAAGGCAAAGCCAGAAAAAATGCGGCTGAGTGGAAGTCCTATGTACCTTCACGACAAGTCGTTTGTTTGCAAGAAGTTTACTAACGAATTTAACAACAAGATAAGTACAAAACGACCGGACTGGGAGTTGAATCAAGATCTCTGCGTTGTCGAATTGGGGTAGTCGAGGTCTGAAGAATAATTAAATTAAAACAATTATTATCGTACAAATAAAGTAAAACAATAGTAATTATAATTATACTATACAGTAGTCAATTTATCTCCGATCTCCCTCGCACACCTTAAGCGGTGTACCTATCCTTATCTGAGTCCACGAGAATAATTATTATCTCCCTCTTGATAAACTGAACTGAGTATTAGAGCTATTGAACGCACAACGCATAATATACAGCGTAAGTACTATTTGACTGTACAAGTTTGTGGGTGTTGAATTTTGAGCTCCACACAGCAGCCGTATTATATTCTACCTATAATGGCGGACAAAACGCTCGTGGGAAATTACGATACAATTTTCGCATTGAAACCCACACGAGTGTTTCAGCCGTGGGATATACATTTATAGCTGATATCATATTATAATACACGTCCACGGGCGTTAAAGCCCGAAAACAGTGAATGGGCTCGAGCACGAATAGCGCAAAAGCTGCGTGTGCCACCGCTCTAAAGATACAATAATACAATGAGTCGACTTCCATTACCGAAATTGCACGGCAAGATGATTAGAACTAATCGGATACGATTGTCAATGATATAATTACTACTATGGATAAATCGCACCGGGATGTTGTTCTTAACGAAAACCTCATTTGGACATTTTAAGAATCCATGCTCGTTCTAGAAGAGCACTCCGTGCCATTAAATGCCCAGACTTATATAACAGCTATACGGGTTTACGGGCTCTAGCACGACGGTAGATCTGATTATGTTTTCAAGCGTAGGATCAATTCCACGATGATATTGTATAGTGTAGGAGACTGACAGATTTTGGGTGTAATTAGATTAAATAAAAGGGATTATTTTTTATCGCTGACATACAGAAACATATAGACATGTTCACACGCTATGTCTCGTTCATAAATTTACATTCGCTTTCTTAAATATTCTAACATGTGACTATTTTTTTATACAGTTTTTATAAGAGTGTAACAAAACACTAAATTAACATCTTGCTTTATGTTATTACTCGCTTGAAAAAGTGTCAGCTCGTTAAACCATATCAGTCCGTATCATCTCTTCTTCGCCTTCCATAAAGCCATAATAATTGTTTGGTTTTATTTGCCAATAAACGCAATCACATCGTTATGGCCATAAAATGTAATAAAATCGGCAATGGGGGAATTCGAGAACGTCTCTCGTCCATTGTGTATATTATTGTTATGATAATGGAGTTAGCAAAAGTAAACTTTTTTTTTTGTATACATAACGACAAGTAAAAGTTTAGAGATTTCATATCCGGAATTCCAAGAACGTTAAGCATACACGCCGTAATACTTTTCCAACCAAACCGTGACTCATATAAACGGATATTTTTTTGGACTTAAGTCTTTATGTTTTGTATCGTTTGCATCATACTTACAATATATGTCCCGTTGAAACTTGAATTGTTACCATTATTCGGTTGCAATGGATATTCACATGCCTCGATCGATTTATTAGTTAGATATCAGAGGTATAGTTTTATTTAGAAAAGATTAATTCATTTATCAAATACATATAATTAAAATTATATTTTGACAACAAAATTTTTAAAAATTAATTTACGATGCAAACATTATGTTACTGTGCAAGGATTTTTTTTATTTGCTAAACAATCATTAAGCTACATGAGTTTGTTTTCCCTCTGAATTTGATAACTGTTTTAATCTCTACACTCTAGTTGATATTTTAATTTTGTGATTTCATTTTAATCTTTTGTTTATGTTTGAAACGTCAAATGGAATCGAACGTATTTGTTTTTTTATAAATATATATATATATAAAGTACAAACAGATCGAAATAACCTGTATTTTGATTTATTTTTTCAATGCGAACACATTCGGACATTTTCAATACTTTTAATAATACTCAATGTGAATTGACGCTATTGATGTTTAATTACTAGTGTTTTCTTCTAATAGAAATGTTTAGATATGAATATACTATTTTAGTGCAAACAAATTAACTTGAACACTACAAGTTAATTTATTTCCAGTCATGGTACCAAAAGATCGGTTCAACCTTAATGATTGTTTTTCATTATATATATATTTTTTATTATGTTTAGTAGAAATTAGTACTGATATAAAATACTTGAGAATTGAGGCTATCGTGTTGTCAAATTTTAATAAGTTAAGTTTTAAGATTTTTTAGTATGTAGTTGTAGTATCAATTATGTACATACTATATTATGATTCTTGCCTAGTGGTCACATTTAATTGTGTAACGCTATAATTATTATTTATTAATATACAGAATAATGATGATCTGTAATTGGTAAACTTAATATTTTTTATACAAAAGCTAAAAAAGATGATTTTTTTTTTAGATGGTAAAATGAAAACGACCTA